TAAGGAAGAACTTTTTCTCTCAGAGTGGTCAGGCACTGGAATGGCTGCCCATGGAGGAGGTGGTAGAGTCGCCATCCCTGGCAGTGTTCAAGACGTGTCTGGATGAGGAGTTACGAGATCTGGTTTAGTGCTTGTGGTAGCAGTGGTGATGGGAGGATGGTTGGATCTTGCATGTTGTTTCCAACCTTGTGATTCTATGATTCTACGATTCTATGGAGGTGGAGAGAGAAAACATTATATTTATAGATGTCTGTAATTAATCATTTTTTAAAAAGAAAGAAATGCCACATGCTGGAACTTTGAAGACTATTATCTAGCCATTACCTTTGTGAATTGCCATAATATCTGTTTTACTTTATTAGCAGTATAGTAGTACTATTGCATGGTTGTTCACTGAGGATTGTAATACTGATACATTGTAGTGTCAAATCAAAATGGTGAACTATTGAAACATAATAGTTATTTTTTATTATTTCTCTAATTTGGCCTGAATTAAAAAGCTAGGTGGTATTTGTAACTTTACAGTGTGTGTCATGACTGCCTGAACCGTAAAGGGAGGGACTTTACAAATATCACAGATGTGAAAGAAATCTACTGTGCACACCAATTCTGTCCTGTGATTTGTTGATTTTTGATTTTTATTTTATATTTTATCTTCACAAGAGATATGTATTTTGAATGTGGAAACACTGGCAATGCTGTAACAAAGAAATTAATCTTCAGATTTTTTATGCAGTGGATTCCAGAGACTTACCTATCTCTACAACACACTAATCATACAGTAAGCAGTATCATAATCACTGGAAATGAAGAAGCTTCTTGTTTTGGACAGAAACTTTTTTTTTTCCCTACAAATTAGGAATTGAAAACTACTGGAAAAGATATCCTGAAATTAACTGTATTTTCAGTAGGAGAAATGATAATTTTGTCTGATATAGTGTTGGTATGCATACATATTCTAATTGTTTGTCTATATCATAGCTGCACTGCAGACAAACTGATGTCTTCTAGGCATGGCATGGTATAGATGAGAAGTAGGAATGGGCTGAAGTATCCTTTATATTTGCCTTTGTATCTAGGGGAGTTGAAAATAGGCAAGAATGGAGAGAAATTGTGTATGGCAGTGCACAAAATTTTGCAAGTTTAATTTGGGTCCTGCACCAATCTGATCAATTGTAGTTACTGGTAAGTCTGTTTGAAAAATTGCTCTTCTTAGAAGACAGTCTTCTAACCAATATTATTTCCCCTGGGTCAACAGTAACCTTTTTAAAAACATAAAAAAATTACATTTAATTTGCTAATTTAAAAATTAAAAAAAAAAAAGGTGTTTAAAATCTTCAGGTTAAATTTATTTTCAGTTTTCAAAATGATTACATAAATGGATTATATAGGAACGTGTTAAAAGTTCTGGGTACAATCCTCTAAATTAGGCAGGCAGACTAAATCCTTAGAATGCAGTGCTGAGGAGAAAAAAATCCATTGTGATTATGAAAGTACTGCTACCTTTATATGTACAATTACATATACTTACATGTTTGCATGAAGTCATTCTGGACATGTGGAGGAGAAAATTTGAAGGCACTGAGGAAAGCATATCTGAGAATTTTTTACTGCTCAGTCTATTCAGGCAGATTGAATGCTCTCCAGCATAAAGTATAGATAAGATGACACATAAAAATTATTGTTTCATGCAACAGCTGTTATTTAGTGCAGTTTCATTCCTTTTTTCCTCCTCCAAAATAGAAATTCCACTTGAAACAAGTATATGGAAGATTTCAGGGAATAAAATGAGACTAAGCATGTAATGTTTTCTGTCTCTCTTTGATCATTTTCTCCAGTTAGTAATAGTTCAGCATCCTATGAGAATGAGAATTTTAAAGCCCTTCCTTTTTGGTTTTAAAGTCTTTGTATCAGTTAAAATTTGTAAGGTGTATTTAATTACTTCATTTCATGCATAATGATGTGGACCAAATGCTAGCTGTATTTAATTACAGTGCTAATTTTCATCAATGCTGTTGTGCCATACAGTATTCACCTCAAACATTGTGCCTCTGTGTGAATGTCAGGCCGTTCTCCTTAACTGCTTTTTCTGGTGCTTGAAGTTTTTAACGTGCTTGAAGGCGTAATGATGCATTCACACGTGCTATCCCAAGATTTGAATTAATATATACTACAGTGAATTCTGTTGTTTATGGTGGCAATCTTGGCTAATTCAAAAGGATGAAGAGTATAGCTTGAGTGACATCTGACAGTCCTGAAATGAATCTTTGCAGATTGGCTTTGGGTTGTCTTTGGATACCTGATTTCAAAGACGTTCAAAGCCGTTTTGGACTTAGAACAAGTCATAGTACATTCACAAAGGTATAGGCTGAATTAATACATTTCCCTGAAACTGGTAACTTTGGCGTCACATTGCAGTGACAGGTGTGGTAGTTCTGTACAGAGCTAATGTGTCAAATGCCATTAAAAACAGCTAAAATCTTCAAGATGACATGTGGGCTCTGAATTAAAAAACTTTGTTCGTTGAGTCTTACTTACATAGAACCAGCTCGTGTCTTTCTCTGTCTGTAGCATGGTTAAATATTAACTAAGTTAATCAGTCCATTGATTATTTCAGAGTTGGCTGGTATGTTTTATGCATAATTAAAAAGTAGCAACTACAGAAAATCTGTATTTTACAGAGTCCTTATTCCTTATAATTTATATTTGGAGTCGTATCAGAATTTCTAGCTAGTGTGAAGAAATTATGTTAATATGAAATACAAATAACTCCAGTCCGTGAGTTTCCATTTAAGTTCATAGAACGGACAAATAAATTGTAAAGCAATGGAACAGGCTTTTGGAATAGCACTCATAGAAGTGAAAGTAAAACCCATTAACTTAAGTCTAGTGGCATGCTCACAGTATAAAAATCTTTTAAATGCATTTTAATAGTAGTTTTTGACTTTTCAATATAATATTAGTAGTGTTCACTGTTGCAGTTTAGGTCCCAGTCCCACAACTCTGCTCTGTTTCTTAACTTTATGCATAGTGGGTCATTCTTCTAAGTCATAGAGCTACTCACAAAGTAAGAAAGTAAGTATCACTGATATGCTGTTTTCTTTGACCTATTCAACTTTCTAGAATTTTTCTAAATACAAATATTCCAAATTTTACATGACCTACTCATGGATAGCCATGTTTGAAAAAATTATGGGTGCCTTATTTTTAAATAACAAATACAGTAGAAACTTTCCATCATGTTAAGGGAAAAATGATGCATATAATCTGTTTTGAAATTGATGTGACAGTTTGACAGGCTGTTTTGATAGAAGCTTTTGAATTCTGCAAGTGGATGTTATCTGTGTTCTTTTACTGCTGACACGTTGTGGAGAATTCTCTTTGTGATTTTTAGACTGATTATTGTGACCATCCAGCAATGAAGCAACACAAGGCACTGTTTCACGTTCACAGCATGTCCTTTGTCTACAATCTACTTTTTGCATGCCAGCCTTGCTCACTGTGTAGGGTATTCTTTTCCTCAGCATGTTAATTTGTTTTTGGTACTGACAGGGATTAACCGATATCAACATTTATTTCAGCGTTTGGATTGTGTTTGGATATCAAGGAAACCTTTAGCTACCTAAATAACTTGTGTAAAATTGAAATTTATAAAATGCAGTTGGACATTTCCTTTATTTCATAGTTGGAAATGCTACAATTTTCACCCCTGTCTTGTCCACCACCTACATGAGAGCATTTATGGTAACAAATGCTTGTCTGCACAGTTAGGAATTATTAAAAATATTTTATTCTTAGAAAAGAAGTATGACATTTTTTCATTTTTAAGTCAGTGCAATGCATTTATGTCACCTACTTTTTTTTTTACTATTTGCAAAATAATGTACAATATTATCTTTCTGTCACAAAAGTTTTTTTCCTTTCCCCTTTTCCTCTGGGTTTTCGGCAACAGATGGGCATATTTTTGTTTCCTTCTCACCATGCAAGAACGAATTGCGATTTTTTTTTCTCCCATGCTGAATTCATCTGCCATGTATTACCTCTGTTTGTTGTTTTTCATAACATAGTTTTACCTTCTTGCTGTTCCCTGAGGTCTTTAACATCTCTTCAGCTTTTAAACTGTAACCTTTCGGAGCACTATTTTTTTTTCCCAACCCTCTTGGAGGTTTCTGAACACCTCAAAGACACTGAGAACTTCTGGGATGGGCTACTGGGTGATTTCCTTAGTGCTTCTTGAGTTTCTTTGTGCATTCCTGAATGGTCAGGCCTAGAATTTATTTTCATGCTTGATCTGCTGGAAGTATGATAGAAGCTCTGCACCCTGGTGGTTTTACACCGGTTTGTGCTGGGTGTTGTTGCTTGCAGAGCCATTTGAGGCCTCATTTCCGTGGTATACTAGTGACTACAGGGATTGAAAGTATGGAATGATTATGCATATCTGCATGTCTTGTTCTTTAACACAATTAGTCTGGATGGTCAAATAGTTGGCACAGAGGAAATGGCCTCAAGTTGTGCCAGGCTAGATTCAGGCTGGATGTTAGGAAATACTTCTCAGGGAGAGTTATCAGGCAGGCTGCCCAGGGAGGGGATGGAGTCACTGTCCATGGAGGTGTTCAAGAAACATTCAGGCATTGTACTGAGGTAAACTGATAATTTACTGGGAAATATTGGTGATGAGTGGATGGTGAGACTAAATGATCATTTTGCAATGTTGGTGATTCTATGATTCTACAGTTAAATAAGGAGAGCTGGAAAAATGATTTTTCCAATTCTGTCTACTTGAATATGAACTCAGTGGTAGGAGTGGGATTTCTACTATTGTAATACAAGAACAACCATTGGAGAATTTTGTCAACAGGGAATGTAACATTTGAATTTTTTCAAGGGCTTGTTCACCTTAAGCCTTTTTCTGTTAATTTAATAGATGGTTAATATTGAGAGTGTAAAAAAATGATTTTTCTGTATTTGTAACATGAAAATTGCTTGTTCTTTACATGCAGTGCTACCCTATTGGCTTTCTTGGTTGAGCTTCTTAAGAGTTCAGTAGCAATGCAAGAACAGATGCTCGGTGGAAAAGGCTTTCTAGTCATTGGCTACCTCCTTGAAAAGGTACAGGTATTATTTGGTTTTGTTCTTAGTATTTCTCCTGTCTTTCTGGTATTTTCAGTCACTTGGCATATCTGTGGTATAAAACATTTTTTATTGCAATACTTCTAAGCTTTCTAGAGGAGCCTTTTCATCTTATTTGTCTTCTTATCTCCCAGTATTCAAATAAATGATACTCTGGAGTTGATCCTGTTTGTCTAGTTAATGCTTTTTCTTTAGAGCTCTTTGTGAATCACTTTAAATGTATTTTCCTTTGTGTTTCTCTGCTCTTTGTCCCTCAACATGTCCTTTAGGAAAGTTACATTGTTCCTAGTTTATACATGCATATCTCAGACATGCCATAATTTAGGTTTACTGTAGCATTTGCGTGTTAATAAAAATTAAAGTAATCCTCTGTGGCTTAGTTCTGAAATTGATAAAATAATTGAGTTGGGTTTAGAAGAAGGAAAGCTGTAACATAATTTTGTTTATGGGAGAAACAATTGAAAGGGGTGTTTTCTTTGCTTGTTTGCTTTCAGACATGATGAGCAGTTATCACAAAGCTGAGGTCCATTTCAGATGCTTGCTTGATGACCACTATGTGCCTTCTGGCCCCAAACCATTATAATGTCCTGTTATTATAATTAAATACAGCTGACAGTAGTTTGTTTTAAGATTGCTTAGGCAGTAATATTTACAGTTGAATCTTATGGCTGTGATGTTCTTGAATGACTCCAACTGTATTTTTGGTCAACATGTGGTTAATGTAGTAACAATCATTTGAGAACGAAGCACTATTAGGGTTTTGCTGAACTACTATTACTGACAAAAGGACTTCTCATCTAAAAATAAAAAATTTGCATTTTCTCAGACTGTATTTATAGCATTAAAAGTAAATGGAACAATTTGTGAGGAAAGCAAATAGAAGGATTTTTTGCATTTTTTTTCTTATTGGTTCCTTTTGTTTGCTTGGTACATAAAGAAATTTGTGAAAGTCTGCTTTCCTTGTCTGCAAAGGAGCAGATCTCAACAGTGTTTCATGGCATAGCTATGAAGCTGAACAACTCTCCTGCAATTTGAGGAAACTTTGAACCCAAATATTTCAAATACTTAAATTTAACAATAAGAAATCTGCTACTAACATGTGTTTGCATATTGATGAACTCAATTTCAGTAAAACTCATAAACTATCTGAAGAAGAGCTAAGGTTTTCTGACACAGTTCTCAAGGTGTTCTTCTGTGGGATGGAGAATGCTGACTGGATTGTAATAAAGCGAACAAACAAAAAAGAACAAGAATTTATTCAGAGTTATTGCCTGATGTTTTGTAAAATGTAGTTCATAGAAAGACCATCAGTTTTATTAGAAAGCATAAGTTGTTTATGTTTGTTTCCTTTCTTATCCAATGAAATAAAAACATATGAGTTTGCATGTATTTCGTAAAGATGAACCATGTGAAAATATCATTTGATATTAAGTATCATTTGATATTAAGAAAGTAAGTATATTAACAAAGAATCTATATCTCTCTATATATATTAATTTCTCTTTTTAATTTTTTTTTTTTCCCCAGTCATCTAGAGTTCATATAACAAGAGCAGTTCTGGAACAATTTTTATCATTTGCAAAATATTTGGATGGATTATCTCATGGAGCACCTCTGCTGAAGCAATTATGTGATCACATCCTTTTTAATCCCGCTATCTGGATACATACCCCTGCAAAGGTAGTTGTACATTTGAAGTATGTTGTGACTCTTTATACACTGAAGTGAAATAGTTATGTTCTTTTATGCTACGGTACTTATGTATATATATATACATCATGTATATGTATATATATATATATATATTTCAATTTGAAAGCACTGTAATAGCAAAGATATTTTTGATCATGAAGTTTATCCATTGCTTAACTATGTTCTCCAATGCCTTTTATACAGTTGTAAAAGCAGTTAAATTCTTGCTTAAGATTCTGGGTAATTCTGTCAAAAAAATTTCAGAGGTTGCATGGTTTTCCTACAGATTAAGCATTAAGAAGACTAAGAAAAAGAAAAAAAAAGCAACAAAAATGCAACACATGTATCAGTACGTAAATGATGGAATCATATATAATTTTTCTTAAAAGGAATTTCTGGAGGTCATTCCAGGTGACGATCCAGTGATGATAAACCAGTTTCTGCCCTCATTAAAGTTATTTCTAATATTTTTTGTATTGTTTTTAATCACATCCAAACTAATTCCCAATGAAATTTTGAAGTCTTTTAATACTCAGCTTACACTTATGTAGATAACTATTTCATTCTTCAGGTGCAATTGTCCTTGTATACCTACTTGTCAGCTGAATTCATTGGAACTGCTACAATCTATAACACTATACGCAGAGTAGGAACTGTACTGCAGTTAATGCACACACTGAAATACTACTACTGGGTGGTTAATCCTGCTGATAGCAGTGGCATTACTCCTAAAGGGTTAGGTAAGTACAAAGAAAGAAATTATGTGCATTTCCTCTATAGGAAAATCTTTGATATATATTTGTTAAGGTCCCTAAAGCTTGCAGACAAGGTAAGTTGGCAGTAAACCAGCCGTCAACAACTCTGATAAGTGAGTTGCTGACACCCTTTCCAATGTTTATAGGTATTCCCAAAAGGTTTTTACGGTGGTCTTCACAGTTATGTGGAACTACTTCAGAAAACACAGAAAAAAATTACTGTGTTGAAGAAAAAAATGTTAACTACATCTCATAACAACGCTTTTTGGTATTTAAGTATGATAATGTTTGTTTGATATTGTTAAGTGATTTTTGAAAACAGAATGGAAACTTCTATTTCTCTTGAGATCTCTAAAGTATATTTTCAGTTCAGTAATATTTTCTCTCTGCTCTTATAAAACAGATTGGTTTAACTTTGTTTATAGCCATGTGCTTGATCTAACTCAGGAAGTATTAAAAGGTATCAACAACAAAATATGATAATACATGCAGGCTAAATGCTGCGTGTAACAGATGCATATTAACCAAAGCATCAAATCATTCTAATCCTATACTCTCCAACTGTAATGTCATTACATTTAGCAGACTACTTGTGCAAAGAAGGGAGGATTTGGCAGAAAATCTCTAAAAAATTAATTCATGCGAGAACCTCATAAATTATTTTTATTCTGTAACTATTACTGTCATGTTGTGAAATTGAACAATTGGGAGATTTTGTAGTGCTGTCACACATCCAAATATTTAAGAATCTAAATGTGTATAAGCTATTGTCTAATTCTTCAATTATGTCAGCTACATACATAGCTATATGAAAATTTGGGTGGGGGAGGGAGGTTAAATAAAAATGTAAGAAACAATACTTATCCTAGATTGGGTATCCTTATAAGCAGTGAAGCTGTAGCTTCCTGAGTCTCACACAAAGAGCAGCCTGTGAGCATATTCAGTCTAAGATAAGAATTGTTCCTTCCATTTTTATTTATTCATCAAGAAATAGGAACTGGGACTTCATTTATAGTTATCTCATAATGTAATGTTAGACTAACTATATTCTTCACACAGTTACTAAAAATTGCTTTAAAAATACCTAAAAAGAGCAGACTCTGCTCAGCAAGGCTAGAGAGCTACTTGAGTTCAAGGGCATTTGCTTTCTAGATTCCATTGGCTGACTAGATCTCCTTTGGAAGGTTAGAAGCTGGTCATGTGTGTTTGTAAGTATGCTGTAGACATTTGAAATTAGGATGAGATGAATCCTACCATAGGGCTGACTCTCCTGCCTCATGCTTTGGATGTCCTATTCAGCTGTGGGTTGCCCTGCATGGGGTACAGTTTTTCACCAGACAAGTTAACCAGCTCTTAACTCAGAGATAAATTATTTTGTTAAAAGCCCAGCCAATGAGTTTATAACAGCTACACCACAATTACAATCGCACTGTTAAATGGCCATCTACTGAAAGGTGAGTTTTCCAGATGTCAACCATATTTACTTCCAGACTGTGATCTGGAAGATGGTTCAAACACTTTGAGATTGTGAATTTGATAATATTGTTTTCTTGCTATTACTATCATGCTTTTTTGTCTTTTAATTGAAAAGAGTTCCTATAGTTCTGTGTCATTATGCTATTACCTAACAACGCTTCATGAATGTATTGCATATTCCAGAATTCCCTCTGGCTGGGCTTGCTTTTGTGGAAACTGTGTGACATTTCTTTCTGCAGAAGATTTGTATTACTTAGCTGTATTTTTTGAGTATTTGTAAGTGTAATGCCAACTGAGTAGCTAGAAAAAAAAAATCTATTCTTCAAAATCTGAACATGGAGTACAAGGGACACAGATTTAGGGAGGAGAAATGAATCAGTTAACTCGAAGTTAGCATACATATGGATGTTTTACTTCCCTATTTTTATCTCTATTTCTTATGTATTTTAAGGGAATAGTACATTCTTTTATTTGTGTCAATTTCAGTCTAGAGGCATCTTCTATTTCTCTAAGGATGCAACCAGATAGCTCCCTGAAAGGTAATCAGATAGTGCAGATTGCTGCTTGTTTGTTGTAGCAGTACAACAAAAATCATAATTACTAAGGCCTGCATAGTGTAATTGGGAAAGCATTCAATAGATGGTGAGGCAATGTACATTTTCAACATACATATTTTTAGCCACTACATCTGCATTTCCACTTTTTTTGAGTTAGATTTACAGCTAATAGTGCCTTTTTTCAGATTACGTTTTTCTTCTTTCTTTCTTATCCTCTTCCCTGTTGTTTAAAATGCAGAAAGACTTACATATTTCATACAATTATACGAAAGTATTTTGTCATACTTCTCATCTGAAAATGGGCATTGTATTGAGTTGAAGCTTGTTGGCTTATCAGGAAAAATGATCAGTGAGGTGGTACTGTATCAGCAAATCCAGCATAGCTATGGCATTCTGTACATGTGAATCAGCTCTTACGTTACAGGTAGCAAATGGTTTGATGATTTGCAAGTAAATGACTGTGGAAATATAATTGCTGATGTGATGGGTTGCTGAATTCAATTTCATATTAACTTAATTTCATATTAGTTATCTTATCCAACTCAATTAATTTCATCAATTGATAAAATTCTTGAAAACTTCTCAAAATGTTTAATTGCCTGGATATTAAATTACTTTTCTTCACCAGATGTTATCCTTTCTTTTAACATTAACTGCAATCTGGCAACGTGTTTTGTGGCTCTGTTGGATTCAAGGTGGTAAGCTTAAAATACTATAAATAGAAAAAGCTGTAGATAATATTACCTAATGCTTTTTCTTTACATCTCTGTTTTCAGCAATTCATAGCTTCCCCAACTTTAGTAATTCGGAAAATTTAACTATTCCAGAATGTTATTTCTGTGTTGATTTTATTAGTCTGCATGCAGCTACTAATCCTGTGCCACTGCCTCACTACCCTCTGAGTAAGGAATTTCTTCCTACTGTCAAATCTGAACCAACCTTTTTTTTTTTTTTTTCCAGTTCAAAACTATTTCCCCTTGTCCTGTCACTAGATGCCCTTATAAAGTGTCCCTCTCCAGCCTTTATATAGGCCCCTTTCAAGTAATGCAAGGCTGCTGTAAGGTTCCCCCTGACGGCTTTCTCTTCTCATGGCTGAAAAGCCCCAGCTCTCTCAGCCTGTCTTTGCAGGGGGAGGAGCTCCAACAGCTCAGTGTCCTTCTTGTGGTAGGGGCCCCAGAACTGGATGTAGTACTCCAGGAGGGGTCTCACGAGGGCAGAGTAGAGAGGCAGAGTCACCATCCTCAGCCTTCTAGTCACACTTCTCTTAATGCAACCCAAGATACTTTTGGCTTTCTGAGCTGCATGCACACATTGCCAACTCATATTGAATCTTTCATCAGCTGACACTCCCAAATCCTCCTCAGGTTTGTTCTCAAGCCATTCTCAACCCAACCTGTATATGTGCCTTGGACTGCCTCAAGCCAGGTGCTTGCTTGCACCTGGATTTGTTGAACATCAAGAGGATGGCATGGGCCCACTTCTTAAGCCTGAACAGGTCCCTCTGGATAGCATCCCTTCCCTCTAGCATGTCAACTGCACCACTCAGCTTGGTGTTGTCTGCAAGCTTGCTGAGGGCGCACTTGATCTCACTATGTCACCTACAAAGATAACACCAGTCCCAGCCCTGATCCCTGAAAAGCACCACTCATCACTGGTCTCCATTTAGACGTTGAGCTATTCACTGCAACTCTCTGAGTGCAACCATCCAGCCAATTTCTTATCCAGGTAGTGGTCCATCCGTAAAATCTATTTTTCCCAAGTTCAGCGACCAGGATGTGATGTGGTTCAGTGTCAAATGCTTTGCACAAGTCCAGCTAGATGACATCTGTTGGCCTTCCTTTATCCACTGACTCCCTAGCTCCATCATAAAAGGCCACCAAGGTTGTCAGGCATGACTTGCTCGTGGTAAAGCCATGCTGGTTACCACCAATCACCTCATTTTTATTTTCCATGTGCCTCAGTAGGGCCAGGAGGATCTGCTCCATGATCTTGCCAGGGTCAGAGGTGAGACTGACTGGCCTATAATCCCTAGATCTTTTTTTCTCTTTTTGAAAATGGGGTTATTTTTCCCTAAAGTTGCACTAGCCCTCTGAATACGTCCATGGCCCTTCTCTGGACCCACTTTAATAGATCAGCTCACACTGAGTTTTCCATCCATCAACAACCTCAAGTCCTTCTCTTCAGGTGTGCTCTCAATATACTCACTGTCTATCCTGTATTTGTGTTTGGTATGTCCTGCTGGACCTTGTGCTTGACCTTGTTAAACTTCATTAAGTTTCTTTGGGCCCACCTCTTGAGCCTGGGTGGAATCCCATCCCTCCAGCATTTCAAAACGGCATCTCCTTAGTGGAGACAGTTGAAACTCTAAGCTAATTTTACATCAGACTTTTCAAAACTGAAAGAAACAGTAATGGAAATCTTACCAATAACAGAAATTTGACAGTGTTGTACTATTTTCGGGTAAGTTGCTATCTTTTAAAAATGTAAGCTTATTTACACAGCTATCTGAATTGTATATTTCCTACATCTTGTATGGGAGTACCATTTTTTAGGTAGAGATAGTTTACTTTACTCTTACATACATGTAAGTTTTTTGCTTCAAGGTCCTTTGCTTTCTTGTGTCTCAATAAGGCACCAAGTGGGTAAATTTCCTACACTGACAGTTCAGTATACCCCATTTAAAGCCAAACTGTCTGAATATTGAAGCTTCTCATTAGGCTAACACTGTTTTCTTTAAAAAATATGAAAGTTCAACCATTGCTTCTTCTGGTAGTCAGCTTATAAAATAGGAGGTGTAAACACTTAGAATTATTTGATATACTCAAATACTTGTTTCAAATTTGGTTTTCTATCACCTCTTTCATTATTGCTTTTTTATTTCAAACTGATATTTCTTCTTGGATTTAGTATGCTAAATTTGTATTGTGTTTCTTTTTCCTTCTCGAGTATCAGAAACACTGTTTCAAAACGTGTAGTTGCTTCATATTTTTTTTTTTGTAATTTTGATTGATCATTTTCTATCATATGTAGTTACATACACATATATGGATCAATGTTTTTCTAATCTTAAAACTATGGATTTTACTTTCTTATTTTACTCTTGTTCTTTGTTTGCTTGCTTTTGCTTCAGTTATCAGTTGTAAATAGATGTCGGGAAAAGCTGACTTGTGTTTGATGAAGGCCATGTTAAAGTAAACCGGTGAAATAACTCTGACATCAGGAAGAGCAGCATAAGTAAAATCAGTTTCCACAGGAAACAATCTTCAATGTTGATTATGTTTTATGTTTTACACTCGAACTATGATTATAGCTATTCTCTTGATTTGGCACATAAATGCCTTTAACATTTTGTTAAATCTCACAGAATAGGATGTGAAGATGCAAGATCATAACATTTTCAAATGTTTGCAGCATCTAAAAATTGCCTGTGAAGCAGGCAATTGAGTAAAAATTGCTTAGTGGTAGTTTCTTTCCTTAATTATTTTCTTCTGTGGATTTTGGATACAAATAGGATGAGTGGAGAATTATTTAACTCTTCTTATCTTGCTATGCAAAGTGATGCATTTCAGTGATAATACTTAAAACTATTAGAGAAATCTTCACATCACATTATCAGTCTTTTTGTTTGAGGGTTCATCTTTTCAAAATAAGTACCAGAGTGATATTTAAAGGAAAGTCAAGTCATCAGTGGATTTGAGAAGGTGCCTTTTCTGTTCCTTGTGTGTTGAAGAACTGAAAATGTGGTTCTCCCATATCTCCAGAGAAACTATGGGTATTTGAATAAGAAATATGAAACTCAAGAACCTTTTGATATTGGCATCATTTGGGATATCTTCTTTTTAATCCTTTCTTGAAATTTCTGTTACAGAAATATTTTGCAGAGCTCTTCACTGTCTTAGTGTTCCACTTTCAGTTTCCATAATTACAGTCTTTCAGGAGAGACAAAACACCTTGTTTTTTAGGCCTGGTTTTCAGACATTGTCTGATATGAATCCTGATAAGGTGTGGGAGGAGAGAGGCAACGTGAAGACACAGATTTCTGTCATACAGTTAGAGGAGTCAATTCTGCATTTCACTTGGGGGAAAAAAATAACTGCTGGCTAGAAACAAACCAGAAAAACACGTGTGATTTTTGATGTACTGCCTTTAGTAGCAAAATGTCCAATTGTTTTAATGGTAGGTACTAGGTGTTTCATAGTACCGTTAGACAGTATTCATAGAAAACAGTTCCTGTAGAATCAAAGCCTTTATAGCGGGTTACAGTCACTGTTGTTGCATGTGATGGTAGGAGAAGGCTGAGACTTATTTGCTTCTTTCAGAAAAGTACCCAGTTCTTCTCTCCCATTCAGAACAGGGAATCAGCCACTCTTTTTCTTTCATCTGGCCTTCAAGCAGAAATGTGAATTAACTGTGTATCTGAAATTAACCTTCATCTACATTCACTGTACAAAATCTAAGACTGGCACACATTGTTTGAAAAGTAGGAATTTAAAAAAGAAATTTCCAGTTCAACCGTAACTATTTATGAAAGGGGGGAATGTAGTATCCATAAAGCAAGGTTCAAGTGAATGTAATTGTTTTAGCTCTTTGTTTCTTACTCAGTATTTTGGTTATTCTTTTACTAGTATACTTCCACAAGCACATTTTTTTCAGCATAAAGAATTACAGACATTCTTTTTGCTGGCTTAAATTTAACATTTTTGTTTTCAAATCCTAAGTTCTCTTTGATTAAATGGCTTCAGTTTCTGCTTGCAGGTAATGGCCATGACTAATATTTCATTAATTCCTGCTCTGTTGGACTTCATTCTTATGGCATTTAACAAAGTGGCTTAGTTGTTCTGAGTTACTGTCATCAGAAATTTTAGATAAAATTCACCTTCATATTCATTTCATATTGTTCAATTTATATTATTGTAAGTTTACAGTGTAGATTTGTGCTAGGTGTGTCTGACCTTCTGTTGAAGTCAGAGGAATTTCACTCAATGTAGAACAATGGAACTATTGATTTTTTATCCTGAATCGGGCATTTTTATCATGGCATTGGGTCAGTTGACTAGGTTTTGTGAATAGAGTTGTTGCCTGTATTAGAATTTGCAACTCCCAGCTTATAGAAGAAAATCTATAGAGTGTATACCTTAATTTAGCTGTGCGAGTTGCAATCTTGTTATTGCTCTTCATGTTCTTATGTCTTTAATATTTATATATAGATCTATACATACATATATGGATTTCTTCTTCTTTTTTTTTTTTTTAATGAAAGTGCTCAAGTTATATAGTTGTAAAATGTAATTCTGTAAGGCTTTAGATTATATCATTTGCAAATATATGCTCTTATACAGTGAATAAAATATGAAATCTGTTCTAAGAACTATGATTTCCCAAAGAAGCTGCAGTTATTAAAGAAATTAGCTTATATTTAAATGTGGTATATTTTGCTTCTTCCAGATGGTCCTCGACCCTCACAGAAAGAAATCATATCACTAAGAGCATTCATGCTTCTGTTTCTGAAACAACTTATATTGAAGGTAAAATAAGCTATTCCAGATGGAAACCTTTGAGACTGTTATATAGGTTCTTTCTTTTTAGTAATAAGCTCTTCCAGAGATATAAATATGTGCTACCTATGAGGTATTATATCTGTTTCTGGTTAATTTTAAGGTTGATGCACATACTAACAATGAACGTAAGGGTAGCAAATCCGTGTAATATTTCTTATTAACCTGACCAAACTAAGATATATATATTTTATTAAAAGTACTTCCAGAAATAATATGTAATACTGTAGAACTGTTCAGGTACTTGGGCTCATTTTTATGTGAAAATAGATTGATAATAAAAAGATCAAAGGAAAAGGTTGTGGAAGTTGTTAAGTTAGTTACTGCTTTATTGGTTTTAAGGTCCTACTGCTGCATGAAACATTTAGGACTCTTTCTGGCTCTTTCTATCTGTTACAGATGGTCTTTGATTTATAATCTGCCATTTGAGACTTGTCTGGAAAAAAGTATTTTCTGCCCCAGCTTATTCCTAGAATTTTTTTCTAGTTGTGTGTCAGGGCTTGGAGGAGTGACAACAATAGTTGATATCATTTGAGTGCCCACACTATGAGAGTTGTATCTAGCAAGAATAGAAGGCTTACTTCAGGCTATTTTGTACTGCCAATGTGATATGGGAAAGAAAAGGAAAAAAGTGGAGTAGCTCTTTGAATTTAAATAGTAATTTTATAGTATTATTTGACTGAGTCCAAGCTTTTCTTAGGCCAAGCATTACAGAATGAATTTTCTCTGAAAAAATATCCCATCTCATTTTTTCAGGATCGAGGTGTGAAAGAAGATGAACTGCAGAGCATATTAAATTACTTGCTAACAATGCACGAGGTACATTTCTGTAATTACCCGTCCTTTACTGTAATCAATTGTACGATCTCTAGGAGAAGCCTGCTGTTGAGGTTAGTTTGTGGAATAACATTGGTGCTTGTCGTACAGGATGAAAATATTCATGATGTGCTGCAGCTGCTGGTGGCATTGATGTCTGAACATCCAGCATCCATGATACCTGCCTTTGATCAGAGAAATGGGATACGGTAAGACAGTGAAGTGAGAAAATGTTTTAAAAACAGTTTCAATATTAGCATTCCCCAGATTCCTTCTTTTTCACATTATCACACATGATGATTTTTCAAGAATTTTAGTTATTTAAGCTATAACTTAGAAATAGAACTAAGAAATAGACTATTTTTATGTCTCTGAGAAAGAGGTTTTCCTCTTGAGAGGAAATTTCATATTTGAAGGTAAATGAACTGCTGTACTTGTTTCTCCATCTCAAATAGAATATGTAATTAGCAAGAAGCATCAAAAAGCCAAGTATCTATCTTAGAATTATTTTGAATACTCTAAATGCTCTACATAATTTGGGGAGAAGAGGAAGATGAGAGAGATCATGCTTTAACCCTCTTAGATTTTCTCTGAAAATATTTTTAAAAATATCTGTGGAATTTATATGTTTATATGATTGTTCATAGACTCAGTAACTGATCATTACCAGACAAGCAGTATTTCTGGTGTTTTTGGTTTTTTTTGGTAATGCATTTTTTCCAGTGTTTATTACTAATAATTTAATGCTTACTATAGATTTTTATTTTGTGTTATTGTGAAAGTACTTTGGAAAACAAAAGAGACTTTTTAAAATAGAAAAAATGGTTACTACTGATAAATTCAACTGTGTTTCCTATAAGGTGTGTAAAACTGCATGCAACTACTTGTATTTAATTGTTTGAAATGGTAGTGCAAGCTGAAACAAAACTACTAGGAATACTGGTTGTACTCACAGTTAGGACACTTTTTTCTGTTTATTTTTCTATAGCAGAAATAGCAAGACAAGCAAACAAGTTACTTTTTGTTTTCTGTAGCATCCAGGTACTACAAGAAGCTCCAAGATGTGACTGTGTTCCAGTTTTTTCCTTTTGTCTTGAGCCACAGCTGCTCAGCCTGCCTTTGATTTTATTTTTCTGCTATAGAAACATTAGGGAAGTTTTTGCTTTCTGTTCTGAAGCGTTGAATTGAGTGATGAGACACCATACCTCTGACCCAAAGAATTTGTGATCAAATTCTTATGCTATGCTTGCTGTTTTCAGTGTATCCTTTCATTTTGTGTAAATGGTTGAGTTTATTATTATTTCATAACCTCATTATAAAATATTACTGTTCAGTGAAAAACAAGTTGTAGGTGTGATGTTTAAAGTATTGAATTTGTTTTCCTTTTTTAGAGTAATTTATAAACTTTTGGCTTCCAAAAGTGAGAGTATATGGGTGCAAGCTTTGAAAGTCCTTGGATATTTTCTCAAACACTTGGGTCATAAGTAAGTGTAACTTTAAAATTATTGTAGTAGTGTATGTAAGTTCTAAGTTCTTATCCTTTTGTCATAATTATCTTAATTAATTTGATAGTCTTCAGAAATAACTTAAAGTTGGTAGTTTTTTTATTTAATAATGTGCAGTTGATGTCTTTATACACTAAGAAAAAATAAGTCTTGTAGTTAATTTGTTCCTATAATGAAGTTTGAAAAGTTAGAGTGATTATCTACCAAATGTATGATATACTGAAAATTAAACCTTAAAATTATTTAAAAACATTTTCTGAAAATATATTTTAACAAATTATATGTTCAGTTAAAGGTAATAGGAAATATGTGAGTGTCATCAAAAATTTGCGACTGAGATTTTCAATGTGATTGCAATACATGTGTCAGGGCAGTACTTTTAAAAATAGCTTCACACTGATGGGAAAGATGAAATGGAATAAGTTATTCCACTGGGAAATGTTCAGAAAGGAAAGTAAACAAGATAAATAGATGATCAATAGAAAAAAAAAAAGCACATAAGAACATGCCTCTGCACTAAAAGAAGGAAGAAATAGTCACATTTAAAATGAGCCAGTGTTACAAAATAGGTGTACTGAGTCTCATTTTTCTTCATTTGAAGATAAAAGAATTAAAAAGTACTTTGTAATACAGTACTGTGTAGCCTGCGGCTGCTCACTTTCTCCATTGTATTAAAATATTCCAGTATGTAGGATGGAAATTACCAGTGCTTTTCACAGCAGACTTCATCATATAAAACCATAGTAAGAAAAGAAGCTTTGAGATCAGCCAGAGTGCAGTATTGCTAGACACACTTGTCTCAGTAAGGTCAGTAAAGTATGACACCATAATTGAGAGCTGGTTAACTGAGAACGCACTCACAAATGGGATTTTCTTTTGGGATTGAGCAAGCCAAGTAGTGTTCTGGGAATTGATAAAGCAAATTCTTAGACCACTCAAGAATCTCAAAGGACTTTTCTAACATTAGAACTTACTGAAAATCACTGAAATTAATTGAAGTTGGATTAAGTAAGGTACACCAGTTGAAGATGTGATTTGAGGCCTTTTTCCAAATAAGTACATTTGTTTAATTCATTTATAACATATCTAGCAAACTAGAGTTTAAGTTAAATAACTTATTTTTCATTGAAATCCATTTGTATGTTCCGCATCTTCCAAGATATCTTTGAATATTCTGTTACTTTCATTTAGGAAAAAAAAAAACAACGCAACCTCTGGGTTATTGGTAATTGTTCACTTTATGGTCAACTTCAGCATGTAAAAATCCTCTCCATTTTCAGATCTCACAGCTAATGCCTGTGAAATGTGCCTATTTGTGCACATCTTCATATGCATTGTTATATAAAGCTGTGGTCAAATACAGGATATTCTAAGAAATTATAAAAATGTAAACCACATAAAATTATAAACTACGTATAAATTTATTTCATATTACAGGAAGCAGGCATTCTGTTGCAATTCTATTTTAATATTCTAAAGCATAATTGCATAAAGAGATGTTATAATGTATGAAACCTGAAACAATACAAGGTTAATAACCAATGTATACATGAAAAAACAATTACCATTCATGGATATTCTGTGCAGATTAAGCTACAGAGTGAAAGTAATTGATTGCCTGGAGAAGTGACTAGTGATGTGCTGGGAGATTAGTGAAATTATTTGATTTTTCTTTGTCATCTATGGTGATAGCTTACTTTGCCTAGCCTTTGAAGGAGGGAAAATCCTGTTCTTCTTCTTCTCTGCCTCCTTGACTTTTCCTACTTCATCACTGAAAACAGTGATAGTCATTTACTTGTGTTTTTTTTTTTTAATCTACTTCCTAAAACAGAGTTATATGTGCTTTTACATTTATAGTATTTTATTTGAAAATATATATAATCTCAAATACAGCAAATTATAGATACACAGTGTATTAGCCTGTGTTATATATGCTGTTCAACATGTTTTTTTCTGCAATGATTAGATATACTTGTTCTGAAATGTCTTCCATGCACTACCACATAGTCACAAGAACATGTAGTTTTTCTTATAACTCATGAACTCTAAGCAACCTGATCTAGTTGTAACTGTCCTTGTTCATTACTGAGCTGTTGGACTTGATGACCTTTAAAGGTCCCTTCCAACTCAAATGATTCCATGATAACTCTCTCTTCAGTGTGCAGAAAAGTACACACTGTTATAAGATGTTGCCACTTTCTCTTATGGATGTTTGAAAAGTAAAGTATTACTTTCAAAAGTTCTAAGACAAATCTGTGTAATTTAAGCCTGTGGTGTTATGATCAGTAATCAGGAAAAGGGACTTTGTTAACTTTGGAATGAACAATTGGGAAACTTCGGTGTATTTTCTTTTATATTGTTATGATACTTTCATTACTAATTAATCTGAATAATTATTTTTGTTTTGTATTTTTATAGTAGTAGATAAATATAATGATGAAATATACAGTAAGTATTCTATTTATGATGCTGTATTTCGTTAAACAATACTAGTTTTTAGGACAGATGGAATTCACTGATGTGAGCTGCTTTCTTTTCAACTTTTTAAGATGATATTTTTTCTTGGTCCTGACTATAAAATTCACCTCAATCACTATGAATTTCATACTTCTTTAGGATTATGGTGTATGAGAATTCTGGGCCATTTTTTTTAACACAAAAGCATATTGTAAATACACAATTTCTTGCTGAGAACCTTTGTGTATTACTGCAATAGCATTTGTATATTCCTGCAATAGCATTTGTATTGGGAAAGATCGTAAATTATGTTTCATTCATAATATTTACAGAATAACTGGCTATAAAACTCTTCAGTACAACGTGAAAACATTTAGCTTTCGTTTTTTTGCATTTACTTTAATATCTTAGACATAGCTGGCATATTTTTATTTTCTCTTCCAGACGAAAGGTTGAAATCATGCATACTCACAGTCTTTTCACTCTTCTTGGAGAAAGGTTGATGCTGCATACAAATACAGTGACCGTTACAACATATAATACGCTTTATGAGGTACAAATTATTAAACATATAGATTTTAATCTCTATGATAAAATTTATGGCTTAATTAATTTTTTATATAACCTTTTAATACTCTTTGTGCTTTGAAATATTCTGATTTGCAAGACATCTGAGAAAATTTTAGATAGAAGTTTTAAGAAAGATCACTTTTGCTCAGAATTTTGCCACATTCAGCTAAACAGGAGTTAGCAGTGTGCTCAGGTGGCCAAGGAGGCCAATGGCATCCTGGCTTGTATCAGAAATAGTGTTGCCAGCAGGAGCAGGGAAGTGATCCTCCATCTGTACTCAGCTCTGTTGAGGCTGCACCTGGAGTACTGTGTTCAGTTTCGGGCCCCTCACTACATGAAAAACATTGAGGCCCTGGAATGTGTCCAGAGAAGGGCAACAAAGCTGGTGAGGGGTCTGGAGCACAGGGCTTATGAGGAGCAGCTGATGGATCTGGGGTTGTTCAGTCTGGAGAAGAGGAGGCTGAGGGGAAACCTTAGCACTCTATACAGCCAGCTGAAGGGAGGTTCCGTTGGTGGTGGGGTGGGGGGAAGGGTCAGCCTCTTCTCCCACATAACTGCTGATAGGATGAGAGGGAATAGCCTCAAGTTAAGCAAGGGGGATTCAGGTTTGATATTAGGAAAACTTTCTTCATCAAAAGAGCAGTCAGGCGCTGCATTGGGCTGTGTGATGGAGTCACCATCCCTGTGGATGTTCAAGAAACGTTTAGATGCTGTACTAACAGACAAGACAAGGTTTACTCAGAAACACTGGTAATAGTTGGACGGTTGGACTGGATAATCTTGGAGGTCTTTTCCAACCTTTGTGATTCTATGATTCTGTGTTTTGACTATTTTTTGGAAATGTCATACTTTTCACATGTTGTTTATAAAACTTTATAGTTTTACACAGGGCAATATGGCAATACAATAGAACCTAATACTTAAATGTTGATCACTAAAAAAGAAAAAAAAAAAAGGACCAGAGACCTGTTCTTCTATGCTGAAACTTTTTTCTTTCGAAAATTGCTGTTTTTCTTTTTCAACTAGTAGTAAAATGATAGCTGAACAAAGATACTATCTGAGAAAAGTAAATGTGACTTATAAGCATTTAAATATCCACCAGTTTCTCACAGAGACATAAGTCTTAATGGTAAACATTTTAGCTTATACATTATTGTTCCAAAACCATTTCTGTATGCCTTCAAATGCATACTGTCAAACCTTCAGTTCTTTTTCATAAAATGATAACTTAAAAATTGCAAAGATTCTATTCTCAGGATTTTTTCACTGGGAAAAAGAAAGTGTGTTTTTTTTTTTTCTTTCAGACAGAAAAATGTAGTGGATACTGAGGATTGGTTCCTGAAAAGATAGAATTCTGTAGGAATACTTGATGAGTGCTTGTATTTGGAATTCTGAATCTGTGTCATGTAGACAAATTTCTGCTATGTTTGTAAATGCTTGGTCATCATCTGTATACCAATGACATACACATATGCCCATGTATTTTTTGTTGTACACATCAGGTGACTTCTCTGGCTTAGTAAGCTTACTCTGCTGTGGCTTGGCAACTTAAGTCTCTCTGGATGTTCTTCCAGTATCTGTAATGATAGCCTCTTACCTTCCCCAGTTTCTAGAAGATCATCTCGCCCTTAGGAAACCAATTAAAAAAGCATTCATCTCCATCGTTTTTCCTACCATGTTTCATCTGTCATCTTCAGAAGTAGCACAGCCCTCTTTTTTGTATTTTCCTTGTGTGATTTTATATCTGCAGCTGATTTTCAAGATACAGTCTTTGGACTTCATAAAATCCGAACAGATAGAGCAAGAATAATCCTATCAAATCTTGGTCCTATGACGCAGTTAGACAATTTGATTTGTAAAAAGTATTTTAACAGATGACACTGTAAATTTCATAGTGAAAAGATCTAAATGTGCTCTTACCAAATTTGCTGAACCTGTCTGTGTGAAGGAATTGAACCCCAAGTTGTATATCCTCCAAATTCCCAGTTAGATTGTTAATATGTGAATCATTGATTTACTTCCAAGTTAATATTAGTTTTTACACAACATGATCTATAAGTAATATGCTAATTTGTTGGATTTTACAACTGTGGTTAAAAGAAAATAAACAAAACCAAATACAAAAAAGACCCCAGAGAGAAGTAGTATCTTTAAACATACAATCTGAAAAGTCACATGAACATGCTCAGTTGAGAATATTGAGGTGGTATGGTTAAATTTCAGTCATTTTGAAAAAGCAACTTTTTGCTCCAAGTTAAGGGATTAAGAAAAGGAACTTCATAAAAGCAGTACCTAAATGCGTTCAGTTCATGTACACAAGTATTTGTCTTGAATTTTATGATTTTTGAGCATACTATTTGACCTTATTGACTTCAGTCTCTGTTTTCACTCACACTTTGATATCACCTAATTTAATACATTTCTGATAATGTTGTAATAATGCTGTGAATCCATCTATACACACTTGTTTTCAATCTGCATTTAGCAGATTAAAGTTCTTTGAGAAATGGGAAGATGCATGAGTGACTAATTGCAACTCAAAGGCACTTCAAAGCTTAAGTTTTCAGTTATGTTAGCTTATAGTTAGGGCAGAGCCACAGGACCACAGCAGTACAGAAGATTTACCCCTGGACTGTTGTAGTTATTTTCAATATTCTCTTACAAGCAAGCATTTGCATTCTATATTAAACATCAATATGTAAAAACCCACTCAAAGATACTGTGTTTACAGATGGTATTAGTTTGATTATTGATTAATGAATGAGCTAAGAGTATGCTTCAAGATAAATATGAATTACCAGTAAAATCATTTAATCATATGTTTTGTTTATATAGTTGCTTAAATATGTTTCTTGGAAATCCAGCATTAACACCATGAAACTTTTAGCTTACTCTTCAAAGCAGAGTTGCATACGTAGTGACAGGTAGCCTGGTGCAAAACATGTGTGGTTTTGCCTCAATACAGTCTAATTAATTTTTCATGGACAATTTGTGAAACGGGAGACTGATCTGTCTTTGTGATTATGTCAAATAACATGGCTATTCCTATGTAATGTAGTATACGACTACTCCTCTCTCCCAGCTGAGGAAAACAAAACCCATTTTCAAGAAATATTAGGTTTGGATATGGAAGGAATATAAGAAAATATCTTTGGTTATATAGTGCTCATGTAAGAATTTTTGATCAGTGAATAGGAAGGTTATGAATGAAGGATATTTTTAGAAAATGCAGTTTTCTTAAAAAATATTATTTATTAAAATCTTTTTATGTTCAAATGATATTCTTTTAAATTAGCAGAATAGAAAAATTAGCTTGGAAGGAACTTCTGGAGGTCGCCTAGATTAAGTTTCTGCTCAAGGCACAGCTAACTTTAAAGTTTATCATGTTGCTCAGTGTTCTCCCCAGGCAAATTTTGACTCTTGTCTCTTGTTCTTTATTTCTGAAATCTTCATTCCATTTCTGAGAATTCCTAATTTTGACATGTTTCTTACAGCAGCATTAAAATCAGAAGTGAAGTTTTCTGAAGGGTGATGAGTATTTTCACTCTTTCAGAACCCTACCACAGATTTACAGAATCAGAATCACAGAATCACCCGGGTTGGAAGGGACCTCAAGGATCATGTAGTTCCAACCCCCCTGCCTGGCAGGGCCACCAAACATACACATTTAGATCAGGTTGCCCAGGACCCCGTCCAACCTGGCCTTGAACACGTCCAAGAACACGTCCCAGGACGTCCAAGGACGGGGCATCCACAAAAGTAAAGATTTACAAGATTTACAAGATTTACAAGATTTACAAGATTTAAAAGATTTACAAAAGTAATACCAAGTTAACATGGCAGAAATGCTTAGATAATCTACTTACTGCTAGAAACTCACTCTAGTTTATTATTATCATTTATTGCTGCTGCAGAGATAATGTATCTGTTCTGATTTCAGTTCTTGGAAAAAATATGTTTTGAGAGCAGTAATGGGAGGGTTGATTGTTGGTTTAGATTTATCTCACATTCAGTATATACACAGAGTATCTTAACTAAACAAAAGTAAACTTGTTAATGAAATACTCTTGCATTTTTAACATGTCCCACCATTAATGGATCTTAAACCTGAATAAGTTATTGATTTCACCAGCTTTCTGATTAAATAGCATTAAGTCAGTTTCTGCAGTTGAAATTTATAGGAAAGCTACTTTTGGCTCACAGCAAAATTTAATCAGTCGGCTTCACTTTTAATGCTGGTTGTGAAAACTTCCATAATCTTTGTTCAGTATAAAACATTTTACTAGAGATTTTCTTAAATGTAGCTGATGTATTTATTCAACACCTGTGTTGCAGTTCGTATATTAGAGTTGCTGTACACATTTGGTGTATCTTTGAACTGAGACAAATATGGTGATTTTGCTTACTGTAACAAATACATACCCACAGTCCAAACAACAGTAAATACAATCTGACAATAGGTATTCTGTAAAAAGGAATTACTTCATTAGGAATTTGCAAGTGTTTCAAGCAAAAAAAACTCTACCATTTTATCTCCAGTGGTCAGGTGTTAAAGGCTTTAAGGTGCTAGAAATTTTGAAGAGATTAAGGCAAAGTGTGAGCATTGGAATAGCATCTTAGGCAGTTCTCTTTGCATTGCTAATATGCTTTGTCTTTCTTTGAGAAATAACATTTCAAGTCAAACATGAAGCACAGCACAGAGATTACATTTTTCATAGTGTATCTCTTTAAAACACCTTGGATATTTATTGAGCTATCTAATAAAACATCAGCTTGATTCTGTTCTTGAAGAATAAAAATATTTTCCCAAGATTTTGGATATGAAGTTGAGATGTGGCTATGATAAATGGTGACCTTAAAAAATAATAATAAAAAGATATGCTGTAGCATTTAATTAAAAACGATAAACTTCTGTGTTTTAGATTTTGACGGAACAAGTATGCACTCAAGTTGTTCATAAACCCCATCCAGAACCAGATTCTACAGTGAAAATACAGAATCCAAGTAAGAACTATATATTATTTTTAAACAATAAAGATATTACCTTGATATTTTATTTTCTTTGAAAGGATGTGGCACATGAAGCACAAATAATTAATTAGCATCTATCAAGTGTGCTTGGGTTTCAGTTTCTGTTTACATTCGTTGCTGAAATATAATTGCAATTAATTTTATGTTAATTTATTTTGTTTTTAAACCAAATTTTTTTAAAATGTGTGATTGTAACTAATTTATTCTTTCAAAGTGATTCTTAAGGTGGTGGCAACACTGTTAAAAAACTCCACACCAAGTGCAGAGCTGATGGAAGTTCGACGTTTATTCTTGTCTGATATGATAAAACTCTTTAGTAATAGCCGTGAAAACAGAAGGTATGTCACTATGGACAGTATTTTCTCTTCCTTCACTCGTGAGTAATAGCAATCTGTTGTATTATATGTAGAGTTGTATACTCTACAGTTTAAATGGAATCTATAAAAATTAATGTAATATGTCTGTGGTAGCTTTTCCTTATCCCAAATAAATAGCATTTGGTTATTCTTTTATGAACATAATTTAAATTTTTATTGACCCTGATGTATTTTCTAGGTTTTCTCTTACCATTGGAATTACTTTCAGAGTAGATGCACCATGTTACTTTTCTCCTGTTTTAACCATCATAATATTAAAATAAAGAAGCTTTCTTTGGATATATTTTGACCTAATTATTTCACTTTAGATGTTTACTTCAGTGTTCAGTGTGGCAGGACTGGATGTTTTCTCTGGGATACATTAACCCTAAGAATTCTGAAGAGCAGAAGATCACTGAGATGGTTTACAACATATTCCGTATTCTCTTGTATCATGCAATAAAATATGAATGGGGAGGCTGGAGAGTGTGGGTGGATACTCTTTCTATAGCTCATTCCAAGGTAAGAAACGACTGGACGTTTTTATATGCTGGTAACTCCCGCACAGTGACTAGTAATGTATTAAGATTTAAAGTGATTTGGTGCCATCTGGTGGCTATCTCCATACATGTCAAGGTGGCGTTTGTAAGATTCTTGTTAATTTTTGTCCGGTGTGATACAGCATGTATTCATCCACATAATCTCTTCTTTCTTAAGGTCACATATGAGGCTCACAAGGAGTACCTCGCAAAAATGTATGAAGAGTATCAAAGGCAAGAGGAAGAAAACATAAAAAAGGGGAAGAAGGGTAATGTAAGCACTATCTCAGGTCTTTCATCTCAGACAACAGGAGCAAAAGGTGGAATGGAAATCCGAGAGATAGAAGACCTTTCACAAAGCCAAAGTCCAGAAAGTGAAACAGATTACCCTGTCAGTACTGATACGAGGGACTTGCTCATGGCTACAAAGGTGTCTGATGATGTACTTGGAAGTACTGAGAGACCAGGAGGAGGAGTGCATGTAGAAGTTCATGACCTTTTAGTTGATATAAAAGCTGAAAAGGTAGAAGCTACTGAAGTAAAACTTGATGATATGGATTTATCACCAGAGACACTAGTAACTGGAGAAAATGGTGCGCTTGTAGAAGTTGAATCACTTCTAGATAATGTATATAGTGCTGCTGTTGAGAAGCTCCAAAACAATGTTCATGGAAGTGTAGGTATTATTAAGAAGAATGAGGAAAAAGATAATGGTCCATTAATAACTCTGGCTGATGAGAAAGATGAACCTTCTACTAACAGTACCTCGTTTCTCTTTGACAAAATACCTAGTCAGGAGGAGAAACTTCTACCTGAACTTTCAAGTAATCATATTTCCATTCCTAATGTGCAAGACACACAGATGCATCTTGGTGTAAATGATGATTTGGGATTACTTGCACATATGACGGGTAGTGTAGATATAACATGTACTTCAAGTATAATAGAGGACAAGGAGTTCAAGATTCACACAACTTCAGATGGAATGAGTAGTATTTCTGAGAGGGAGTTGGCTTCATCATCTAAAGGATTAGAATATGCTGAAATGACTGCCACAACTCTTGAGACAGAATCTTCTGGTAGCAAAACTGTACCTAATGTTGATGCAGGAAGTATAATATCAGACACAGAAAGATCTGATGATGGTAAAGAAGCAGGAAAGGAGATACGGAAGATCCAGACCACTACCACAACCCAGGTAACTTTCAAGTGCTGCAGCTATATACATCACTTATAATCACTCTTCTTTACTTCTGAATACATTAGCAGTTTGAGGTCTGAGAGATTTTTGAAGTTTTTTGAAGTATGTTTCCTGCGTAATATGACAGGTGTCCATCCTGCAAGCCAATTTGCTTTGAAAATTTCTAAATTTCTTATCTTTTACATCTGAGTAAAAAAAAAAACTGTTGTGGTTATGCATGCTTTAATTAAAAATAAATAAATAAATAAGCTAAAAGAATCTCATCCACATCCGCTTCCCTTATTTTATGTAGACAGATTAACTATTGCTTATAGAAGTCTGTTTTAGGCCTCTTATTAGCATGTCTTATAAGATTAGAAATATCTCTATTTTGTTAAGGGATACACATAGAAGTTTTTCTTTCCTCTCACTGGACCATTCTCAGTGTAGTTTGTCTTTTATAGCACTTTAGTACAATTTCTCCTTCCTATACCGGAATGCTGCCATAAATATTCTCCACATTAAATCCGAGCAAAGAAAGGAGTTAATTTAGGGAAAGTTGAAGAAAAACTGTGATTTGAGCTCCAGACCAGAGATCATCACTAAAAGAAGAGATATGTACTTTCTTCTTAGGGATTCCTTCTGTTTCTGTAGAACAAAATTAATTTACATATTAGAACTGTTGATAGACTCTAGGAAGCAATCAAAGATTGCTTTTGAGAATGTTATTGAGTGAAAAACTTGATTATCTTAGCAAATTAACTATCTTACTTATAATGCCCATAATGCACAGCACTATTTTTCTTCTAGGATTTGAAACTGTGGAACAGCCATTACTTACAAAAACTGCTTTTCTTGGTGCTGTATAGTGTGTACCATAAAATCACAAAGTTTCAGAGTTGCACTGAAACTTATTACTGGTTACTCTGACTAGTGGGCCCTGAAGTCTCTCTCCTATGGAAATAACTTTTCTTCTGAACAGGAGAGCAGATAGAACTCAAAACTTTCCCTAGGTAGCAATTATAAGAAATGCATAGAGTTATTTTGTAAGCATTTTTCAAAATTATGAAATTCCTCATCACATCAGGGACAGAATATCAAGCACTGTGTAAATGTTTCTGTGTTTGGAAGCATTCTGTGTAATAAACAACAAGTCCTGAAAGCTCTCAATAGGAAAATTGATAGGAACTTATTTGTGGTCTTAAAATTAAGACTGTTAATAACATTCAAACTGATAAATGAGAGAGAATGGACAAGAACAAGAAAAAGGAGTGGATAGTTTTTTTTTTAAATGATTTTTTTTTTATTACAGAGTAAAAAGCAACTGAAAGCATTCATCTGCTATGCAGTGATATATACAAATAAACACTGAGTTAGTAAGATGTCTTTAATGATTTCATACTGCTGTCAAACATTCTGTTTGTGTATGACTGTTATGACTTATGACTATTCTGTCCTTTAGGCTCTTTGATAAATTCTGCCTACAGTACTTGAATTATAAAAACTCCTCAAGCCTTTAACTATATGTTAGGATTAAAAATTATATGTAAATCTTAATGAATTTTATAAAAACATTATAGGACATTATAAAAATATTATAGGATAGGAAAATGGAAATATTTTCAAATTGCCTCACCCTTACATTGACAGAAAATTCCTAACAGATCATTTGGATTTGCAAATTGTGTAGAAACTAAGTAAACGTCCAAAGCACAACTGTTAAACTTATTTACCTCATTTGATTCTCCATGTGTTACTTAAATTGCATTTATTTCCCAATAAATCCTTGATAAACTACAATGAATTTGTTTAAGCAAATAATACCTCTTTTATAGTTTTCTCAAAAAAAGTGTAATCACCAAAATTGTCATAATCTTTAAATCAGTTCTTTAAACATGTTTTGAAATACCCAATGAACTGTAAGGTGTCCATAGTTAAGTAATTTCTGTTTAAATGAAGTTAAAGGTTTGTGTTTTTTTTTTAAATACAAACATGTATTAAATATTGAAAATGGATTGGAAGTAGTTGTCTTTAAGGATCTGTTCCAACCTAAAGCATCCTATAATTCTACCCAAGGATTGTCATTTTCATAAGTAAAGAACAGTGATAAAATTACAGTTAGATTTGATTGCAGCATATATGAACACTTTAGCTTTGATTTCAACAGCTTTGAGACCTCTGAAAACACCATTTGGTTTGTTTTTAAGGCTGGCCACCCAAGTAGATAGTTGGTTTTCATGGTCGTTTGAGCACCACACATCAAAGATACTGTTGCAACTAAAGCACTATTGACTTGATAAAAAGCTACTCTGTTCTGGTATGATTATGATTCCATTATTGCAAGTGTCATGGAAAATGCATATAGTTGTATCTAAAAGGGAACAAGTGTTATGAGAATGCTATGCTAACTTAATTTTTTCTAAAAACATACCTACAATCAGTTCCCCGTCTTATCAGAATGTGGTAATCATGTCTTACTCAAATGAAGTGAAGGGAGGCAAAAAAATACCCAACGAACTAAAGATGGGATCTAACGCATATTTCAAAAAAGATTTAATGCTTCTATCAATGATAGAATCACAGAATCATAGAACTGCTCAGGTTGGAAAAAACCTTAAAGGTCATCAAGTCCAACCACAACCTAGCCATCCTACCCTACCGCTAACAATCCTCTTCTAAATCGTGTCCCTGAGCACCACATGCAAACGGTTTTTGAACACGTCCAGGAATGGTGACTCAACCACCTCCCTGGGCAGCCTATGCCAGTGCTTCACAACCCTTTCTGTAAAGAATTGTTTTCTGATATCCAACCTAAACTTACCCTGGTGCAACTTGAGGCCATTTCCCCTCGTCCTGTCACCTGTCACCAGTGAGAAGAGACCAGCCCCACTCTTGCTGCAATCACCTTTCAGGTATTTGAAGAGAGCAATAAGGTCTCCCCTCAGCCTCCTCTTCCCCAGATTAACAGCCCCAGTTCCTTCATTCAAATTGTAGGTCAAGTGTAAAAGAAAATAAAATAAACTTCCTTCCATGATCTAAGTTACGAAACAATAAAAATAGAATTGAAGACATACTATAGAAAAATAATTGAAAGGATTAAATTGTTAGCTAATTCTAAGAAAAAAGAAAAATTATTATTTGAAGATCATTCTAAGGAAAAAGAATAGAACATAAAAGCCACCATGATACAGATCCTAATAAGTCAACCTGAATGCAGGAAACAAAAGTCATAAAATCCACATCTTCTACCTGTTAGGAGAATCTCAAGAATGTCCTGAAGATCCATAAAACTGTTAAACTATTAGCAAAATGTAACAAAATTGTCAAAACTCTGTTTTGGAGAATAGATTTGATCCTCTGACGATTCTGCTAAAAATACCAGATGAATAAACTGGCTTTAGAAAATGATGAACTGTATGCATAAGTACACTGATATCTTGAATCCCAGCACTGTGTAGTTTTTTTCAAATTCTGAGCAAAATATTCAAGAAAAACTGTGCTAGCTGCATAAAAATAACAGTTGTTTCATATGACAGTTTTGTAACTGCTGACCTTGTACAGGCTGTATTTGGTCTTTTCTGTGATATTTCAAGTGAAGAATGTGAATAAAAAACGTCAGTGAATAGCTGAAAGGAAGGCAAGGTACGGCACTGCAATGCTGATTGATTTGGAGTAGCAGCTTTAGTAAATGATAGTACCTATGTTGAATTGTCAGTATCTGCTGTGGTATGGGCTTGAGTTCAGCATTAGCCTATCCTTTCTCACAGTCTGTAATCTATCCAAAAACTCATTACAGAAACATAACATGACTTCTGACCTTCTTGTTAATACAGGCGGTACAAGGTCGATCCGTCACCCAGCAAGACCGAGATTTACGTGTTGACTTGGGATTTCGAGGGATGCCAATGACAGAAGAGCAGCGGCGACAGTTTAGTCCAGGTCCACGCACAACTATGTTTCGTATTCCAGAGTTTAAATGGTCTCCCATGCACCAGCGTCTCCTGACAGACTTGCTTTTTGCACTAGAAACAGATGTACATGTTTGGAGAAGGTGAATGATTGATATTTAAATCCTGTTTTGTGTTTCTGTCAACAAGGAAAAATCAGATGTGTTGTAGAATGGATGTTACCATGATAATGGGAAAGGATAGAGTTGGCTTAAGCTGAAGTGCTTTTCTAAATCTTTTATCTACTCTTTTCACTCCTTCCCACCTTATAACATCTCCTTATCCATGGGTTCAGCATCCATTTGCTTCAGAGACTGTGTAATTCATATATACCTGACTAAACTGAGCTGCTGTCTCAGCATATGTTTAGCACTAGAGCTTCTCTACCTGCAAATCTTACAAATGAAAACTCTGTCCTATAAATTTTTCTAAGGGATCACCTTTTGTAGATGATAATTTTATTTTACGTGCCAGCTTCTGGTTGTAGTTAGTTTTTCTGATTATGTTACTTCTAATAACAAGTAGATGATTTTCTAGCTTTTTGCACACTTTATCAGAACTTGTTGTTACCAGTGCCCTTAAGTTGCCCTTAAGTATGGTAGACATTGTATAATCTCATTTCCAGAACAGAAAAGTTTACTTTATTTGTTGCAAAGCACCAATTTATATTGCATTTACTTTCTAGTTTGATTTACTGTTCTGTGGCAGTCGTTGGAGGATAAGCAATTTAATTTAATTTAAATTTTTTTTTTTAATATTTTTTTAATCCTTTGCTTATGTGACACTTGGAGGTGAACATTTTATTTTGCATATTTTCAATTGAAGTTTTTAATTTTTGTTTTCTGGCTGGCAAAAAGTTGTTTTGGAAAAAAACATAGTGTGAATAGATTCAGAATTCTTCAGTGTTTTCACACAACTTTTTATATTTTGGGGAGAACTGTTTCATGGGACAGTTTCTCACCAATTTGTTGTTGGCATTACAGGTAATAGCGTATCTGTCTTGCAAAGTTTTGTCTAATGCTAAATTTAATATTAGTTAATAAAGTTTATACTAGGTCAAAATATTACCAGATCATTGGTTTTCTGCCTTAAAGCACTGTCAGCAGGTTTCTTCAATCAATGATACTCTAATAAATTAGCCTTTTGAAATTACAGTTTAATAAAGTCATGATGAAAAGCTCCTGCCTAATTTCATTAGGTATTTTGAGGGCTACTTTAAATGGCACTGGTGCAGTATGTTGAACTCTGTTAATCAGCTGAATAATAACTTTCACACTGAAGAAACAGTCACGTTGCTTACAGTAGAACTGCTTCTGAATTAAAGTACTGCTTGATGGGAATAAAAGGTTTTGAGCCATTCTTCTCAGCTGTGTATCTGAAACAAATCCTAGTGTGAAATTAGGTACCAGTCAACTTGTCCATTAGTCTACAGCTGTTTATATTTTTGACAATGTGCATGGAAAATCTTGTAGATAAGGATCTCCTTTAATAACAGAGAAACATTTGTGTTCTGATTACAAAGAATAAGTTTGAACTTTCATTTCAATTATTTGGTTTTAATCTATCCTTTTGTGTTTGTGTTCTTGCAGTCACTCCACAAAGTCAGTGATGGACTTTGTCAATAGCAATGAAAATATTATTTTTGTACACAACACAATACACCTCATTTCCCAGATGGTTGACAATATTATTATTGCTTGTGGAGGAATTTTACCATTACTATCAGCAGCCACTTCCCCAACTGTAAGTACAATATTTCCACCTAGTGGTCATATTAAAAATCATTGTTAGTAATACAAACTACTGTTTGCAGCTGAATTTATTTCTCTAGGGAATCCTCTCCACTATCCACTAATTCCTTTCAAAAAATTGAAGTTTTTATTTGAAACTTTTAAGCTTCAATACATGGAGTGTTAATAGTTTTTTATCATAATTTTCACTTGAAATATTAATTTTATTAAGAGTGGTAGTACTAAGTAAGAATATTAATATTTCATATGTATTTAATATTTTATTTGAAAGAGAAGACCATTATTACTATGGTTATGAATCATGGCTACTCTTAAGAAAAGTCACAGTTCCTGATAGCTAGTCATTGATATTCGTAAACCTGTTTTGCATGGCCAACATATTTGCATGCCAAATGACACCAGAAGTCACCCCCTCACTACTTGCTCTTTACTTCTACCAGTAGTTACTGACCTTTCCTTTTTTTTTTTTTTAATTTTGTCTTGAAATAGTGATGTTTCTATCCACTGTTATGTTCTTACTAAGCTGTAAGTTCTTAGGTCGGCACAGCTCAGGCAGGTAGAGTTGCCTTATAAAATGCTTCATGAAAGATGAATTTTTTTTTAATATATATTGTATAATTGTCAGTAGTAATACAGTATTTGAATGTGATGTCATTTTTTTGCACATAATATCAGCTACTATCTCTTTCACACTAAATATGTTATCTGGAACATCCCATATCCATTTGCAGCTAGTACTGATCTTTGAAAGGGAAGAAAATAAACACAGGAGGAACAAAGATGTTTCTATGAAGTGGTTAGTAAGCACTGAGTGTTGCCAATGTAATTTTGCAACACAACCTTAATTTCTTGTTATAGTGATTCAGCAACAGAGATTACATTAACTCTCATATTTACTTCTTGTTAGGTGGCAAAAAAAAAAAAAAAAAAGTTTTGCATTATTTTAGTGAAGTATATGAATGTATTTATTAGCAACTGGTTGAACATCAACATGATTTTCATGGCTAAATGCTGTTTCTGTACTATCTTCATTGTTAACTAAAGAAATTACTTGCTATTAGCAAGAACACAAGACTCACAGGAAAAACTTCAGTCTGCTATCTGTTGTCAAATCACACTAAGATTGCTGAATAAAAGATTTTGCATGTGTTACCTTTTAAAGAAGTTGGCACACCTTGAGATGAAAATTGTTACTTTAGATAAAAGGACGTGGGGAGGTATTTTTGAAAATAAATTTTTAGGCAGCATTTGAAAGTGAAAATGTTTTCTTTGCCATCTTTTATATTAAAAATATAGATTAGGCAGGCACGGCATGAATTAGGCTGTAATTCCGTTGAATGGTCTCAGTGCTTTTAGGTTTTTGTCCTGGTTTATGCAAACTGCTTCTATAGAACAGTAATTTCACAATTCACTATTTAGTTTATTCTGGATAATGTGTCTGTGTATATATGCTGTACAGATTTATATACTACATAGCAATTTGTTAAAATAGTGGATGTTCTTATTGTCTTGCAACAATAACAGCGATTTTTATATATTATTTCTAGAAGAAGATTACATTTAGAAATTATTATTATTATGCATATATTTCTCCACTTCATGAGAATTCCATGTGTTACTTAAATGCTTAATTTAGCCATCTGTTTAGGATAGTAGAAGTAAATTGTGATATAAACTAGTTCACTGAAAGATCACTAGCTGGTTTTAAACTGAATTAATCCTAGTCCGTGAAATAAGAAATAAAATAAATAAAACTACTTTTTACCCAGTAATTGATATAATCGCAAACTAACCCGAGTCCAGAGAATTGTGGTCAGTGACTCAATGTCTGGATGGATATCAGTGATGAGGGGTGTCCCTCAGGGATCAGTGCTGGGACAAATACTCTTTACTGTCATCATTGGTGATGCTGACAGTGGGATCAAGTGCACCCTCAGCAAGTTTGCTGATGACTCCAAGCTGTGGGGTGTGGTTGACACCCCAGAGGAACCTAGGCAGGCTTGAACAGTGGGCCCAGGTGAACCTCACAAAGTCCATCAAATCCAAATGCAACGTCTTGCGCATGGGTCAAGGCAACTCCCATTACCAGTACAAGCTGGTGGATGGGAAGCTGGATATGAGCCAGAAATGTGCCCTTGCACTCCCAAAAAAACAACTGTATCCTGGGCTGCATCAAAAGAAGCATGGCTAGCAGGTTGATGGGGGTAATCCTGCCCATCTACTCTTTGCTGCTGAGGACTCACCTGGAGAACTGTGGCTAGATGTGGAGTCCTCAGTACACGAGAGCCATGGAGCTGTTGGAGCGCATCCAGAGGAGGGCCACAGAAATGTTCAGAGAGATGGAACACATCTCCTACGAGGACAGGCTAAGAGCTGGGGCTGCTCAGCCTGAAGAAGAGAAAGCTCTGAGGTGACCTGAGAACAGCCTTTCAGTATCTAAGGGGGACCTACAAGAGGAAGGATACAGAATCTTTAGCAGGGTCTGTGGTGATAGAACAAGGGGAAATGTCTTCAAGGCTTAAAGAGGGTAGATATCTTTGAGTATAGGAAAAAGTCTTTTACAGTGAGGGTGTTGAGACACTGGAACAGGCTGTCCAGTGATTCTGTGGTTGATGCCCCATTCCTAGTAACTTTCAAGGTGAGGCTGGATCAGGCCATGGACAACCTGATTTAGCTGTGCATGTCCCTGTTCATTGCAGAGGAGTTGGACTAGATGGCCTTCAAAGGTTCCTTCCAACCCTGAGGATTCTATGATTCTATGAACTTAACCTAGAAATAATTTACAGCTTAGATGATGATTTCATAGTCACATCCATCTAGAACAGAGCTTCTTCCATTTCATCCTACTACATTCCTTTTCCATTACTGCCTATCTATAAATGTTAGTGTGAAAGTGGATTCAATAATTGTGAGAGACACAAATAGCGCAGCACATCCTTGCTCTTTCTTTACTATCATGATAGTAACAAAGAGACTTGATGCTATGTTGGGTCTCTCCTGGATATGCATCATATCAATTAAAAGTTTCATACAGGTTCTCAGTCTTCTATTTCTTTTGTATCTTTGAGTTGATGTGGAGAAATTGGCAGATGCAGTGGCAAAGAAAATATTTCTTCTTAATCTTAAAGGGGCACAATAGTTCAGTGCTTGCAGTCAGTTACAAAAGATTATCTCACTGTCCTCCTCCCAAGAGCTGCTAATTGAAAGAGAGAAGTCTGAAACTAGTAGATTTATATAACTCTACATAAAAATAATAACCACGGCTTAACAGTGACATTTTCTGCCTGAGTAATTCGCAAGGGAGGAAAGACCAGAACTCTTTTTCCATCACCTACTGAAAGAATCACTGACTGACTGAGGTGAGAAGGGACCTCTGGAGGTCACCTGGCCCAGCCCCTACTGCAGCAAGGACACCCAGAGCAGGGTGCCCAGGGCCACATGAGTTGGCTCTGGAAGATCTCCAAGAAGGAGATTCCACAGCCTCCTGGCAGCCTGTGCCAGTGGTCCATCATCTGCACAGCACAGAAAGGTAATGCTAAGAGAGGTGCTCCATTGCCTACATCATCTTCATGTGCCTTTGTTGGGTTCTTTCCTGCATGGAGGAGCCAAAAAATGGATACGTGACTCCAGGTTGTGCTATTCAGGCAACAATCTTCCTGCATTTAGTCTCAGTGCTTGGGCCATCTTCAGCTGCTAAAATCATCCAGAATATTTTTGAGTGTATCCTAAGATAGGTCATGCATTTGCATGGAAATTTTTCTGTAATTCATTATAAACTATTCTTACATTTCTGTATCTCCCTCGCTTTCAGTTACGTACTTCCTCTATCTCGGAGTCTATGCAATGACTGGCTTCATCTGCTGTTGTTTTTAAAGGGATGTGAATTATACATGTGAACTGAAATTAAATGAAGGCAAACATTAACAAAAAGTATAGCCAGTTTTGTTGCTTTGCAGTATAAACTAGAGTATGTTCTACTGTAGATTCCACATGTCTTGCTTACTGAATTGGAGCATATTAGAGAGAGATGATAAAATATAAAATGATGATTAGTTGTTTCTTTGCTTTTGTGAGGGTGTTCTTTGAGGGTTATTTTTAATTACAGCTGTAAGGGAGACATTCTTAAGATGGCGTCCAAGTGTTAAGTAGGCATATTTGAGATCTTTAATGAAGAGGGTTTGCAGAAGATGGTTTCTGTTAATAGCAGCTTACTGCAGGAAGATAAATTTTGTGTACAAATTAGAAATTTGAAGCAATCATTGCTTACAACAAGAATAACAGTTCTGACAAGGATTCAAGGAATACGGCAGAAGAAATACAACTGTGGAGCTGAAGTAACTATGACAACTGAGAGTAAATTTCCAGACCACTTGAAATTATTTTTTTTCCAATTTATTCCAAAAAGTCTGGAGTTTGTTTCTTTTTTCAAACACAATTAGAGAAAGCTTAAGGATGACTTCCTAGCAAAAATAAAGTGCTTGTACCCAAAACTGAAGCATAAAAAAGTTAACGTATTAGCTCAGTTCTAAAGATTGGAATTTGAAGACTAACTCAGTCTTGAGGCTTGGTAAATTTTTAATGTTTTGTAGTTCAAAAGCGTTCACTTATCCACTGTTGTGTTGGTTTAAATTGAAGAAATTAGACCCAAGCATTATATATATATATATCTATGTATGTATGTATATATATTAATTGAACTGTCTTGCATTGCTTCAAAGGAAGGAGCTTTATGCATGAACCAGTTTGCTTTTTGTGATTTATGATTATTTTGTCAGAGCATTTTATACTTGCCTCCTCATACAAAGATTAACTACTTTATTACATTTCAGTTGAATGGGTTGTTGTAAAACGCTCATTTTATTTCTATATAATCAGTGAAAACATTATTTTCATTCACATTGCTTCTTAAAATTACTCTGTATATATAATATATAAAATACATTGGTTTAGAAGAACCAGTGTTTACATGAAATCTGTAATAATGCAAGATTTACAGTTTTTCTTTTCTTGTACACAGCTATCTATAGTATTTATTTTCAAATGCAGAACTGAAATTTTATGCTGTTTTAATTATAAATCAAACAAATGTATAATTCCAAGATACTAATTTGTTTCAATTTTGCATTGTATATTTTTAGTTAACTTAAATAATTTTCTTTTTCTTTTATTGTTGTGATCTGTTGTCTGTTTTGTCTGTTGCATGTCCAGGGTTCTAAGGTTAGTATTGCCACTGTAAGTTTCAGTTTTTGCACTTTTAAAACTAGCTTGGTTTTAATCATTTAGCATTTTGGCTTCTTTTATTGTTATTTTCCTATGTCATGTAGTAGGATGTAAGAATATATTGTCTGTATTTATTAATTTCTCCTAACACGTTTCCATTCAGTAGCTTAACGCATTGTCATGTATGGCAATTAGGTTAGCTAGAGCACCAAACAAAGGAAGATCTCTGAGCTAATGGAAGTTATAAACGTGATTCTCAGTAGAAAAAAAATCTTTAGGCCCTGAACGTGTGATTGTGCGGGAAACTTGTTATTGCTCTTTAACTATCCTGTGTAGACATGAGGTGGTGATAAGTTCCCTTTCTTAAGTCTTCCTAAGCTACTCCAATCTAAAATATTGCTAGTACCTGAAGGCAGCTTGATAACAGTTGAACTTATTTTACATGTTATTAGAATATCAGTGTACTGTTTTAATAAGTAGAGCTAATAGTACGTTTTTCTGCAAAAAGACTGTTAGTTTTTTAATTTTCTTCTCTATGTATATATCCAACAAAATTTTGGAGAAATTTTAAAAAAGATTTTTCTTCAGTTAAATGTTTTCAAAAATCTTGTTAAAACACACATATATATATATATATATATATATATATATATATATGAATGTTTTTAAAATGAATTCATTTCATACCTTGCAAGCGATATACTAAGATCTTTTAATATACTGAGATACTTTTAAGATCACAATTGATAAAATACAGTTAAAATGAGAAAAATCAACAACAGGCACTCAGCTGGTTCCTAGCAAACCTGATGTTATTTGAAGCATGAGTTTAAAGTTCGAGTTTCTGTAACCACCCATGATTCTTTTTCTAGCAGACTGTTATAGCTATAGATTTTTTTCAGATCTATTTTCTGTGAATGAGTGCTTTTAAAAACAACGTTCCAGTCTCTTACAAAAAACAGTAACTTATTTTTCCAGAATGTCGGAATACAGTGCACACCAAGGAGGGAGACCTGGATAAAGGAGAGTGACTGGAAATAGTTCTGGGAGCTGTCACTTTACCATTTGTGTGATTTCATTGGGCAGATCAGACAGATGACAGCATTTCCCAAATCACTCCTGTAACAGACATGTTACATCCTTAGGAGAAATTAAATGAAGTGTTATCTATCATTGTGATGACACATGCCATGTAATATCCAACATGTTTAAAAACATTTTTTCCTTAATACTGTTTGGCACAGTTTGCCGTCTTCATGTTATACTCTAAGCTGTTCTAAAAAGTAGCTCATATATAAGTATAGCAATTTTTTAGAAATACTTCTTTTCCTTCTGAAATGGCCCTAATGGCATAAAATGTGTGTTGTATTTCTCTCATATGTGCTTCTAAGCAAGTGCAGCAAAAGTGGCAAACACAACAGAAGTGATGCCTTTCCAAGTGACCAAACTGTATTTAAAAAAGCCATGCAATCTGAAATCTTCATGGCAATCAAGAAGAATATGCCATCTGCAGACAATTTTTAAGATACTGTTTAGATGTATCAATGTGGACGATGTCGATCACTAAATCCGGTTTTCAATTCTTTTGTTAATTAAACTTAGTGTTTGCTCACTCATCTGCACTGTTAGACATCTGAATGCTTTTTGAAAACATGGCTCTAGATATCAAAATATCTTCTTGGAGAAAAACATGACCCCTTTTTAGATTTCAGAAATAAAGAGCTCATTCAGCTGTGGGTTTCCATTAAGGAGAATATACCACTACGTTAGAAAAAAAAAGGTCTTTTTCTGGGAAATGTGAGCTGCATGCCATGTACCTGGTCACATTTTCACTCCCTCCCCATTGCTGTAGTGAGGGAGCAAACCATCCCTTTTCAATTCCAGGAGTATTGATATGGTTCTGATAATACAATAGTAAGTGTTTCCTGGAAAGAATCAGTTCATGGAAGCAGAGCAGAACTGCACACTGTTTTCCAGCTCTCCAGTCCTCACATTTACTTGTGTGTCTAAAGGACTACAGAAGCTATGCGGACTTCATTTAATGTGTTACCTGCCAGGTTGGTTAGCCTACAGAAGAATGGAAGTGTATCTTGCACCTCTGCCTAGTTTTAGTATCTGGCCACATTTTGTCTTTATGTAATTGCTAATAGCTTTCCCATTTATCTTAGACTAAGTATTACTTGTTAGAATATGTTAATCTAAATAATTTTCTCATTCTTCATTTTATCTCACTTTGAATTTCACTCACAATTTACATTAATGGTAATAATGGGAGATTTTAAAAATAACTTTCAATGCATTTATCAGTAAGTGTAACAATTTAGATTTGTACACGTATACACCGTCGTCATATTTCAGTTGTGTTCAATCTGTTTAATTCAATTATCTCCTTTTAAAGACTGAACTGGAAAATATTGAAGTGACACAAGGAATGTCAGCAGAGACAGCAGTAACGTTTCTCAGCCGTCTGATGGCAATGGTTGACGTTCTAGTATTTGCCAGTTCTCTAAATTTTAGTGAGATTGAAGCTGAAAAAAACATGTCTTCTGGAGGTCTAATGCGACAGTGCCTGAGGCTGGGTAAGTCTGCAGACAGTGCGTATTAAATAATTACTTACAGATCAGTGAGCTCAAGCTAGATCAAATGGTGACACACGTCACTATTGTACTGACTGTGATGTGATGAAACAAAAGTACCTGTTCTTGCTGATTTGTTACTGTTTCAAGGTTGGTTCATATCAGGCACAAAAGTGTATTGAAATGGCACATCTGAAATTGTTCATTCCTTTATACAGGCTGTGTACATTTTTAAGGAGTAAAAATATAAAATAAAGTGCATTGTGAAAAAATGTTTTTGCTAACTGTTTTGCTGCGTACCTACTGAGGCCTTATCCAAGTCTCTGTAGGTTTGGAAGACTGGTTCAAGGCTACGTGAAATTAAAAGCTTGAGATGCTTATACAGGCTGCAGATCTTAATATGTATTGCAACAGCCTAGCATCTGTCTTCACTATTTACCATTTGCTATATGCTGTTACAGTTAATCTGGGAAATTTAAAATTTTCTGAATAATTCCATTTATTATTATTATGTCAGTTTGTCCTGGTGAAAATTAAATTTTGACTATCATCTGACACTGTTTCTTTAATATTGTGCCCCTACGTACTTTTTCATCTGTCAAATGCTGAATAATCTTTAGACTTGGATTTTGTCCTTTTATTAATCATATAACTTACTAAGTCTTGACAATTACCTTGTTACTGATAAAAAGCCTTGTGGTTTATTCTCATTGATTCCAGCTGCCCACAAACTCATTCAGATTTTAAGTATTGATAATTGATCAATAACATATGACAGCTCCAATTTAGAGACTATTCATTTTCAAATTTTAATATAGTGATAGGGCAGTTAAATAAAGCATTAGAAAGGACGAAACAAGTAAGTCACTGTTAATGTTTTCTTAGTATAAATACCGTCAAATGTGAGAACTGCTGCAGTTACTATTTGGAGGTGTTTATTGGCATATACTGACTACTAATTAATATTAGGAAAATAATTGAGAAATATTCTAACTCGTGACATTTTCATAACTTTTTTAGTTTGTTGCGTGGCTGTGAGAAACTGTTTAGAATGTCGGCAAAGACAGAGAGAGAGAGTGAACAAGACTTCACTAATCAGCAGTAAAGCTCAGGATGCTCTTCAGAGTGTAACTGCTTCAGCAGCAACCAAGGTAATCCACTCTTCTTACCAGCAGCATTGACAAGACTGTACCACTTCTTTTTATGATCATAAAATAATTATAACTGCCTTCTTAAGTATTTGGCAAAAGCTTTGGCAAAGTAGCTTTTTGCTCTTAACTGACTTTAAGTGAAGGTATGTTTTGGTATTCCTTTGAAACAAGTGAATGTTAATGCAGTGGTATACTGGAACATTTTTAATGAGCTTTACCACTCCCACTTTTTTTGACTTCAAAAATCAAGTTCCCTTCCTCACATCTCTCCTATGTATCTGCTCAGCCATTTCTTAATCTCTCAAAGCATTTGCAGTTATGATAAGTTTTGCAGTCACATCTGTCACTGGAACGTCTTGGTCCCAGTAAAATCCACAGACCTATGCACGTACAATATAGATCAGTGTTTTCTTTTTGACTGAATGAAACTTAATAACTAATTACAGATTCATTGATTATTTTTTTTTAAACTTGTTAACAACTTTGAGAGTTTGTGAATCTTTTTTGTGAGACTAAAATCGTAAGCAATTTAATATAGCCCATGACTAATATATGACATTTTAGCTGACAAAACAGATTCTTGTTTTAATTTCATTGAATTATAGAATCATTTGAATTGGAAGGGACCTTTAAAGGTCATCTAGTCCAACTCCCCGCAATGAGCAGGGACACCTCCAGCTCCATCAGGTGCTCAGAGCCTCATCCAGCCTGACCTGGGGTGTCTCCAGGGATGGGGCATCCACCACCTCTCAGGATAGTGTGTGCCAGTGTCTCACCACTCTTACTGTAAACAACATTTCCCATATAACCTATCTATTTCTCCCTTCTTTGAGCTTGAAACCATTTCCCCTGTCCTTTCGCAACAGGATTTTCATTAGTAACTAGCGGTTTTTCTTCTCTATTTCCAAATAGCATTTACAAACTCAGCTATGTTCACGATGTTATTTCATTAAATCTCACAAAAAATGATATTTTTCACTTTTTCATATTTCATTGCCTTTGCAATAATTGGAATTATTCTGTGAACAGCTATAATAATTATCAGTAAAACTAAGAGAAAATCTTGTTTGAGAATATTTCTGCTCATGGTTTTTAAATTTAAGACATGCAAAAAATGATTTGCTGTTATGAAGCAACTATAATCTGAAATCACCTTATGTGTGCACATTATTATCTTAATTTTGCAAAGCATACCGTTCTGACGTACTGAGATAATTTAACAGGTTTTATCTAAATAATTAGGAATATGACGGTAATTCAAAGCATTGCTTTATTTGTGGAAGCCTTGTCCAATAGTGAGAACACACTGCTATTGAGAGCAAACAAGCATCTAAGATGAGCAGTGGTATCTGCAAATGTCGTCAAATTAAGGTTCTAACAGAAATGCTTTGAATTAAGACATTTGGGAAAGAAAGAAAAATAAAAAATCTCATAACATTTCTATTTGTAGACTCCCCTTGAAAACGTCCCTGGCAATCTTTCTCCCATAAAAGACCCTGATCGGCTTCTTCAGGATGTTGATATCAATCGTCTACGAGCAGTTGTTTTTCGTGATGTGGTGAGTAATAAATAGGCTCTGCACTTCTTTCTTCTTCAAAATTGTCACTTAAATTTTCAAAGATTTTCACTGTTCCAAAATTAAAAATATTCTTTATTTGTTACACTGTATGTATTATCAGCAAACCATTTGCTCACGTCTTTGTTACCGCCAGCCTCTTTCTGTACTTTAAAATAATATTGAGATTAGTACAAAATTTCATTTTGGAGTTAGACTTGATCTTACATTAGTCAAATAGCCACAACTAAAACAAAACATGTCTCCCCTAAATTAAAACTGTATTACTGAAAAATGTCAGCTATTTTTCAGTAGGAGGAAGAATTATTATATGCATTACAGAACTGCAACAAATTCATTTTTAAAGCCAATTTTTACATTTGCTGAATCTGAATATATGTATTATATACAGATGTATAAAAAAGTCAGATAACAGCAGCTTTTTTACCATGAAACTTTGCCACAACTTTGTTTTTGAAGGCTGTGCAACTGAACTTATTATATATATACAAATAAATTAAAAAACAAACAAAGAAACTTCTCCAGCCTGAATTTGAGCAGATTGAGAATGGAATCTAGGAATAGTTTTCAGCCGAAGAAAGTTGAACTTGAAACAAAAGCATTTATCTGCCAAGATGATCTCACCATCTTGAAAGAATGAGGTTGAATTTGTGTGATGTTCACCTGACATCTTTTCTTACCTAGAGAAGAGAGCAGAGGAAACTTTTTTCTGACAGATCTGTGAGAGAATTTACAGCTATTTTAAGGGTTGCAGTGACGTGTGACCAAATTAAACACCCATGATAAAAGACTTCTCAGATGATGTAAAGTGGGTTGGGATCAAGTAAGGTCATACCCTAGCAATAGGTAATGGCCATACAACAGCAGACTGCATTGGGGTAGGTGGAAAAGAAAAGCAGCAAAGGAGTTCTGGTCCTGGTATTTATATTTACATAGAACCCTGGAAATCTGGGCTTGCTGCTGATAACAATCCTGTTGAAGAATTCAGAAAATATGAGCTGGAGTTTATATTTATTGCTGGAAAGAAGACCATGGTCATAGTCTTCATGTTTTTACCAGATATGTTATGCCCTCATATGTACCCACTGTTAGTTGGTAAAGCATCAACAAGCTTAATTTTCCCCTTCAGCAGTGCCCCTTAACTTTTTGCAGCAGGACCAAGAGTCCAAAAGATTTACCCCAACGTTCTTGGGGTATCAGAAGTCAATTGCCGTTACTCTTGAGAAGAATTAAGAGCATCCTCAAAGAAGAATAAATCCTTTAGTATGAAAACCCCACTGACTTCACTGTTTTGGAGATTTGAGTAGGTTTCAAATTACCTGTAAGATTAAACACTTAATACATGTTGTGTGCATATTACTTCACTGGAAGTTCATTAAATCTATTTAATCCATCTCTTACTATGTTAACAGATGTAACATTTCGGAAGGGTATTTTTTTATAAAGCTTTTAGATGATCTTCAGTGAAAATTCAGTGGAAATGTACAGTATTATAGAACTCCTCCTTTTTCTCTAACGCAGGACGACAGCAAACAGGCTCAGTTCTTAGCTTTGGCAGTAGTCTACTTTATTTCAGTTCTGATGGTCTCCAAATACCGTGATATACTAGAACCACAACGAGAAACAGCAAGATCTGGGAGCCAGGCAGGTAGAAATATCAGACAAGAAATAAATTCACCAACAAGTACAGGTACATTTGTTTTCTTTTAATGTTCTTTCTCATTTTCCTGTTTAGATACTTTAGAACTGTAGTTATATTACTGCAAACAATTTTCAAACACTTTAAAATTACAATAGAGAATTACATGCTACTTTGTTTCTCTAAAATGATTTGATTCTTTAATGTATGTTAGCTGATTTCACTTATTCTATGTATTTTCTTATAGAGTATAACTAGTTTTCATTTGCATATTGCTTTTTTATGCTTTCATTTCTTTAATTTGTATGTTAAAAAAAAGTGTCTGATGGGGCTAAATCTGTAATAGTTGGTAGTTGATAGTTGATGACAAATTCTTTGTCATTTGTTAGTAAGAGCACATATCTTTAACTGTCTACAATGAAATGTGTAAAGTCCAAACAGGTTTTTGCAAATATAAATGTGAACTCTATTAGTTTGAATGAGTGTGCTTCTGAAGGGTGAAGAGTGGTGATGATGGGCTCCTTGCAGTCCACTGTGTTGGTGCCTGTATTTAGAAGGCTACTGAAAGAGTATCAGAAAAAAGGAATCATTTCTATTGCCTTCCTTGATCTGTTTGTGATTTTTCATTAGTAGTGTTATTTTCACTGGCCTTCTTCAGCCTGAGTGGAAGGGAGCCTGGCAGCTGTCAGAGCCCAACAGAAATTAGAGATCCAAACTTTCAAATACTTTACACTATCAGTTCAGTAGGTTTTTCAGAACCCATGGGATTGTTTATAACTGTGCCTTCTGTGCTAAAAATGCTGAAAACAATAATTGAACTTGTCTTTGAAGCTCTTCACGTATGTTTTTCTTCGTGTATTAAATTTTAATTACTTTCATCATTTATGGAGTTTCTAATGTTCATTCTTCTTAGAATGTATGTTCCAGTTTATGTTACATTTATGTTAATTCATTGTTTTCTGATTAATCATTATGTTTTAATTTACCACTTATACATTGTTTTTGAAGTTCACGTGCTTAAGGGCTTTCCATTTTGAATATAATACATGAACATATAATACATAGACAATTGTGAGAAATCATCATTTTTGTGCTTTTCTGTTTATGTTATGGTTCTGCAATAAAAAGCTGCTAGCTTTTGTGAACTTTTTTACTCATAACTGTCTTCTCTGTATGTGCTGTGCATATATGTCTGTTTTTTTCTCCCATGTAATGTTGCTTTTTGAAGTGCCCTAATAATAGGTACGCTGTTTCCTATCTCTTGACACAGAACTTGTTTTCTTCCTTTAGAAATGCATTTTCTGTTGATAATACCAGATTTGCATGTTTCAATGAGATAGGATTTCTGTCATGGATCCACAGTGGACCAGGCCACACATGAATACTAGCTGGCTCACATTTGATTCCATGATTTTCTCCACAGTTGTGGTCATACCATCTATCCCTCACCCAAGTTTGAACCATGGATTCCTTGCCAAGTTAATTCCTGAGCAGAGCTTTGCCCACTCATTTTACAAAGGTAATATTAACATCATCTCCTAACCTGTTTGGGTGTTCTTATTTAATGTAATGTAATTCAAGAAATAACTGTGATGTAATTGTTGATAAATAAATATACGCCTCAGGTTACATGGAGATCAGACCTGATGACACCTTCAAAACTTTAACTACATTTCTCTAGGAAACCTTTTTCCCATTTTTGCTGCAATTTATTAACTTTACATCCTATGAACTAAATTTTTTAAAAAGAGCAGTGAGGAGGAGAAAGTGGATTTTGAAAATTCGACATACCTTTTGTTTCTGCTTATACTGCTACAATATGATTAAGTCCTTAAAAACCAAGTCAGGCCTATTCTAAAACTGCTGCATACCACATAAAGTATGTAGAGCTTTTGCAGTAGCATCTTTCCCCATATGTTTTCCTGTTCTTTTTCTGCCTTTCTTGCCTTTTTTTTTTTCTTGCCTTCTTGATGGTATGTAAAGCTTTGATATTGTATGTACTGTGAATTATTTTATGCTTGTAAGTTAATGTGCTGTGCTGTGCTTTTCTTGAAAGAGACTGCTTCTGTACCAGAACAGCTATTATATGTTTTGGGCTTGTTTTTGTTTGTTTGTTTGTTTCAAATGGTACAATACAATGCAGGGAACATGTTTTTCAAATGTCATTATTTGAAACAATATGATATCTGACTGTAACTTTAGCAAAGTTTGCATGTTTATTTTCCCATTTATTTGCACGTACTGTGAGTAAATAAATGTGTAGGTTAAAAATCTGAGGAAAATGTTCATGGTGTAATTTTGCAAAATCTCAATGGGTAAAAATATTGACTTATAAAAAGCTGAGGAGATTTAAAATTGCATCCTGTCTATGAACAGAAATTGTTAACTTCTCACTTTACTAATAATGTAATTTATGTTATGTATATCATATTCTGTTCTGGAAACTTTATGTCAAAATTTTCATTAGAGCAAATTAAACAATTACTGTGTTAATCTAGCATTTCTTAAATTTCCACAGATACATGTATGTATATTATACACTGCTTTAAATTCTAGTAAGTAAGAGTTTGTGATTTTGATTTAAAAATCTACTGTCCACTACATAAAGGAAAAAAATATCTATTTTTTCCATTTCAGCTTGCTTATGTCATATTCTTTGTCGTGTCATATTTATATGGGTATGATTCAATACATCACTGATGATATTGCAGAATAATACCCTGTAACAGCTAAATCCTGCTGTCTCATCTCCTTTTGCCTTTAGAACACGTTCCTGAGCAGCAGTCATAGGATATTTTATTTTGGTTACCTTTTGCTTGAAAATTGGAATTATTTAGAATGCCTCAAAGCCTACAGTTATTAAAAAGAATTAAAGTTAAATTTAATACAATTTTAAAAACATTTGCAAAATAGGTATTATATTGCTATTTGTACAAAGCTTGATATTTGAAATAATGAGAGGCAAAAGAAGGATAAACAGTTTTTCTTCTCATCTATATGACATAAATTAGATGAACAAAATCAGAACAAAATGTCTAAAAATAGTCTTTCAGAATGGAGGAGGCATACAAAGTCACCAAAATAATTCAGACAAAGCTTTTTTATTTAGGGATGTATCCTCCATACTATTGCTCATAGTACTTTACCTCAAATTCAAGTGAAATAGTTTTGTTTTGGGTTAGTTCTTTTAAAGGTTCAATAGAGCTACAGAAAAAGCGTAAGTGAGATAAAGAAGAAACTGTACTGAAGAATTTGGCTTTAAGATCAAATGATTTGGTAAAGGAAATGTTACCTGTAGCTAGTTATTTTACCTGTTGATGTCACTGTATCCTTCAAGATCTCAATCTACAGGGTCTCAACCTCTTATACCCAACTGCTTATTAATCTCTAAACTGCACATGCCATTACAGAAGAAAAGTTTCTGCCTTTTAAATTCTGGACACAGTCCCTCAGTCCTGAAGAACATTAGCAGGAACTGAAAAGAAAAAAAAAAATAAATGCCAACACTGTCAGAAGAGGCTTAAAGTCAAAACCTATTTTGTCATTTCAAGAATTTTTCGTTCCAGTGGCTTAGCCAATCAGTTTATTTTTATTGATGTGACATACTTCCAGACTTCAGCAGCAAACATGTAAGACATGAAAATTACCACATAAAGTACAGTTACATTTTAAGATAACTCAACATATTATAAAGCAATTATTTTTATTATTTAAAAGTCCATATATGTTTTTAAAGCCAAATCTTTTATATTAAAATGTGAATAAAAATTCAGTTGTTATGTGGAAATAAAGCGTCTATATTTTGTTCATTCTGGATGACACCAATTGGATATAAAGTTCTTTGTCAGTTCAATATAGCAAATTGTATTATTATTGTTAGAACTGTACAAGAGTTTTTTGTGATAGATCTTTATGAACTTGGGAAGACTGATCAGCTGCTTAAAGGAAAATGATTTTTGGTAGATGGAATCTATTTATAAGACCAGAAAACTTGAGGGGTGAGTAGAATAGGAATATCAGTGGCATTTGAATAAGAGAATGAAGTTCTTTTTAGTGATGTTTTTTTCTTTTTAATGTACAGTTGGCATTATCTTTTATTAAAACATATCTGAGGCTATGTGAGACCATACTTATCTCAAGGACATTACAGTGTGTGATTAGCAATATGCTTCTTACTTGTAACTGCAGTTGGCATCAAGCAAAGGTACTGGGAATTCTAAAGAACATTGTACTTGATGCTGAACGTTTCATTTCTCATCATTAATAGATGCTGGCCTCCCAGTTTATACATGATTTTATAGATAAATAAAATGTAGAATTTACTAAAAAGAATTTAAAACATCTTTTGCATGGATATATATTCTATCTATAAATGTTCGTATGCATTAAAATAAGAATGTTTTTGGTTTGTGAACCAAGTATTTTTGACAAGGTATATGTTATGTTATACTGCTTTAAGGAGAAAGGGCACACCCAGGAAGAAGAAGAAAAAAAAATAATTCAATGATGTCCACTCTACCATTATGTCATTGTGTTCAATGGCAACCACTTAACATTAAAAAAGTTTAATTTGTTATGATGTGCTGTTCTGCTATATTTTTGTCAGAAAAAAAAGTCTCTTTTTGTAGATTTATTCTTTGCCGTATGTTTGTCTCAAATGCTTGCATTTCTCCTGTAGGTTGCTGATAAATACAAAGGATCTATAATATTTCTAAAACAAACATTGTAGAGTTCAACAAAGTAAAACTTGTAAAACAAAAGCAAGCTCCTCCTTTTCTTTTTAGGTCACACATATATGCATTAAGAGTCAAAAGCAACCCTCCTTAGCTCAGATTACTGAACTTCATAACTTCAGATTTTTAAATAAAATCTGAAATATAAATACATTAATTTCCAAAGCTTTTAAATGGAACTTAATAAAGCACCTTGACTTACAGTGGTAATCTTCACAAAGGTAGCATGGCATAGCTCAGAAAGTTCTATGAATAAGTTTGCAGGCTTATTCCACCTGCTGCTTCGATTGTCAGATACTGAGTAATTCCTTCAGGAATATCATCAAAGAAAAAGACATAAAACACACACACAACCCTTTCTCTTGCCTTACTTATTCTGCAACATGTTCATACATCATGTTATTCATGGCTGGATGCCAATCGCATAAATGAAGAGCTCATATGATTCTAATGCTGACAGCGTGGCAAGTTGTCAGTCAAAGACAAATGCTTGTAAGGATACTCTGGAGAAAACTTAGACTCTCTCATCTTTTCAAAGATACATTGCCTGTTTACTGCTCCCCCTTGAAGTTCAGAACCAGTTAAGACAGATCTTGGGCAAGCAGGATGTTTCCTGAAGCACAGAAGTCAACTAATTTGCAAGCCTTTCTTGCATACCTTTCTTCCTATGTGCTCTGTAGTTCCCTAATAAAGTGAAGTCAGGTGAATCTGTAAAACCAGTCCACAGCTATTCAGGACAATCTGAGCAACTATTCTAGAGAAATTTATTATTACAGTTTCAAATTAAAAAAAGGCAGATCAGAACTATTCTCTTGCTTCTGAAAGATGTCTAAGAAACATAGTCCAAAAACATTAAGCATTGCCAGTATTTCTTCTTTCTGTTCACAATATCAAGGAATTGGGATGTATTAGACTTGGAATGTTACAGCAGTTCCTCTATATTTCAAGATATAGACTTTGGATTGACTGATATTGAAATGTAAGAACTTGTTGAGTGACCTAGAATATTCCTTGGTCTGCAGACAGGTTCATCATCAGACTTTTTGGTTCATCAGATTTCTCCAATTGACTATGATTAAACGAAGTTATATAATTAAAATATGGAACTACTAAAAATGGGTATAGCATTAAAAAAATCTTTTCTATTAAGGGATTGTTTTCACCTGACTAATTAATGATGATAGAAATCTTTGTATGAGATTCTCAGTATTTCACGTCTGTCAGTATTGCAGTATGATTTAAAGCTCAGCACAACATTTTCTTTGTATCTAGACATCATCTGCCATATGATTTGTACTCCCTGAAAAACGTTTCTCTTTTTCCAGTATTGTCATAATTTTTGTCTTCTCTCACACATCTGGAAAGTGTGGAAGTCAAGAGTGGAAAATTGAGAGTAGCCCTTCCTCTTGCCAGACAGAGGGTAATCAGTGCATATTTTTAGAGCAGAAATATCGTATCAGTGAACAAGACATGGAAAAATAGAGGAGCATTGTGTTCTTATTTAGAGCAGCTAATCAGCCTTGTTATATAAAAGAAATTAGCCTCTTCAAGCCATTGCTATGAATTTGAAGGAGTTTTGGTTATGGTGGTCAGGATCACTAAGATGAGTTTTCTCAACTCTGGTCATTGTCAAAGCTGTCCTCGCTTACATTGCAGATCTGTTAGACTATTGTTTTCAACAGTACTTCCATGTCTCCAGCAGTGGAAATGTGCGAATGATGTTTTTGTGCACATCAGCTGGCAGACTGTAAGTTCCTGAGAACACCACTAATACTAAGCAAATGAT